ATATATATATATATATATATTATTATTATATATATATATATATATATATATATATATGAAAAAAATATATATTAGACTTAGTCCTAAGAAAAGCAAATGTTGAGAATACAAATGTACAAATACAACTTTATAAAACATTAATAGAGGTGACGCTGCAAAATTATCATGACATAATGATCATGTATAATTATTATATAGTAAGTTCACTTATGAAATAGGACAGATTGATTCAATAAATTATAAAAAAAAGCAACAAGTAGAACAAAAGAAGAGACAGAAGGGAATGGATTAAGGAAAAAAAGAAGTAAAAGGGAAGGAAAAGAAGGGAAGTTAAAAAGATAAAATGGCAAAGGAAGAAACATGGATGATACATAGAAAGAAAAAAGCAGAAAAAGATGGAAAGTAAGATAACAAAATATGGAAGGGAAAGGGATAGGGGAGAAATCAGAAGAAAAGCGGAGCAATTCACACGTATAAACGCACGCACGCACGCACGCACGCAAGAACTCGAAGGGGAAAATGGCATCGCGCAAGGCGGCGAGCACGAGACCATTTTGACTCTGTGGGATATAAATTTTGATCGCAGGAAGCTCGATTACGTTCGTCGTCGGAGGACAACGATTCACTCACCTCCTGATCCTTGCCTTTGTTCTTAAACACCATCATTCGGTTCTTATTTAGCATTGCCTCGGCCGCCATTTTTTCAATAACCAATTCCCGTGCTCGCGTAGATCAATGTGCGCCGGCACGCGGCTCGTCGAACGTTATCACGAAATGAATATCACGTCCCTGGGTGAACGCCCGACTCGTTTCTTAATTCCTGCGTTCCGCTGCGATATTTATCCCGGCAACCTAAGTCCGATCTATATCGATAACTGCATTCCGTTCCAACGGGTCACTCGATGCGGTGTAGTATGTACGTACATACGTCAGTATGCAGTATCATGTATCACACTCAATCGCGTAACAATTGCCTCCGTTGCGTCGTGCAGTACCGATGTGGTTCCTCTCTTCGTGGCTCGCACACCACTTCCCAGGCAATCCCCTTTTTTTTCCCACGATCGGAACCAACTGTAACTGGTGAGCAGGCTGAGCAGGAACAGACCATCAATGTTTCCCAGCGCGTTCCCAAAAGAGCGCGAAAAGACGTTGGCGATCGTCACGAAACGCGATGCGCTCCAAAACGCTACGTTTATCGCTCATTGCTTAGGCTTGTTCTACAGCATCATGCGTCGGTGTAGTGATCGTACGAATGGGCCAATCACAATCAAGTATTCTCCCCACATTTGTCTGCGATTGGTCAATTCTTGTGGCTTGCGACACCGACATATGGGGAGCGTCCCGTTTGATCACGTTGCAATTGGACACAGCCACTTACAGTGACCAATGCCTGGAGATTTTCTATCGGATCAACCAATCAAATAATTTTAAATTGGCCAATCGGCAACGTGGACAATCGGACGAAAAACAAATAAGCTTAATTTTATTGAAATTGGAGACCCTAAACTTAACAATTACTGGAGACACAGAAGGAAGAGAATATCTCAGATAAATCTCCACTTGTTCATTACTGAGTGATATTTATTTGTTTTAAAAAATGCTAGAATTTAATGGCTGCGTTTAGCAGAGAAAGCAGCTTTGCAATTATTATAAAAATCTTTGATATGATTTTTGCCATTAGTTCCTTATGGATCTAAATGTAAACTAATTATATTAAAGGATTTTACACAATTACAAAGCTGCCTTTTTCGCTAAACGCAACCAAAGAGTCTGTTCTTTTTAGCTGAACTGGTTGCATTAATTCAGAGTTTATCTTTCTTCTCCAATGTTAGAAAGAAAGATGAACTGAAAGAAGAAACTGTGAACTAGTACAATCAATTCAGCCAAAAAGAACAACGCATACGCATAAAAAGAACAAACCTCTAATATATATGAGGTGCATTCGTTTTTGACGCTCACGGCTGTAAGCGCTTATAAGGGTGCCGTCACATGCACCGTAACTTATTAAACGTAATCTGCGTATTCTAGGGTATTTTAGGGTGCCATCACATATGATGTAACTTGCGTAAGCGTAATTTGCGCCGACCAATCACATCGTTTCACTTGAATATCAGATTCCGCCTAGTTACTTTATGCTGTTTACGCTATTATTGTTACGTTGAATCTATCTATTTTTTGCGGTAAGAAACACACACACACACACACACACATACACACACACACACACACACACACACACACACACATATATATATATATATATATAAAGAAAAAATTAAAAAATTCACTTAATTTTAGCTCGTATAGCTGTCACATCAGATCTTGTTTTTTTAATACAAAAATTTTACAACTCGTATATACAAAATGAATGCGTCGGATTAGATGAATAACAATACTATATTTTTGGATTTATGATTGAAGCTTAGAAAAAAAGTTTAACACTTGAACAGACTGTGTATGATTTTATCGCGTATATGTATAGATTTTTTTTTGTTAGGCTTTGGATTGTAATTTTACAAGCTCAGTATTGTTCTTTAAAGTAATCTGAAGTGCGGAATTATATGATTTTGTATATACAAAACTGCAAAACTTTTATATTCGTCGAAATAAGACATCGTGTTTCTCCCTTGCATAACGTATAAAGTATGAAAGAATGGATCAATCAGAGTCCTTCATCTTCATTCCATCAAAGTAAGAAATGATTATACGTATATTGTTGATGCATAGATCTTTTTTGTTAGGCTTTGGATTGTAATTTTACAAGCTCAGTATTGTTTTCTAAAGTAATCCGAACTGCGAAACTGTATCATTTTGTATATATAAAGCTGCAAAACTTTTATTCTTTCGAAATAAGATATCGTGTTTCTTCCTTACATAATTTGTAAGGCATGAAAGAATGGACTTATCAAAGTTCTTCATTCAATTTTCATTCTTTTCGAACGGTGCTGATAATAAAAATGAAAAATGTCCGTTTCGACAAAATAAAAAGTAAAAGCTTCTATTTACGATTTCAATAAAAAAAAAATCAGAAGCATCCGTTCAAGATAGCACTACTAAAATTAATAACAGATGCGTCTATTCGAAAAATATTGACTGTATTAAAAATCAAAAACGTCCGTTCAGATGATATTGATGATTACAAATGTAAAAGGTCTAAACTAGATACGAAGAGACGGAAAATATATTGGATGCGTTCTCACTGGAGTAGGCAATGGAAGGGCCCATTCTGTAATTTTAATTTAAAAACTACATAAATGAGGCACGTACAAAAAAGACATACATATGAGCTCGACGTCTCAATTACTATGGGAGAAGAGAACAAATATTATCTCGCGCTCGCGACGCGTATGAGAAGAAGAAAGAAATATTATCGTATCTTTCATGCAGTATGCGCCGTGATGGTCTAATGTCTCCTATGTCTCTTGATTATCCTTCACTGCTAGTATAGCTAGCATTGCTAGTATAGCGAATGAATTGAAAAGAATAAACAGATCTTAACAATGCATAAAGAGAAACGAAAATCGTTATATATAATCGTATATAATTTTATGTATAAAAATTATAATTGTGTAATAAATAAGAAATGTGTATGAAATTATTTTCTCAGTATAAATGTATAATATATGTTCCGAAAATCTCTAAGAAATTCACAGTTTTGAGTAACGATAAATGAAATAATTAAATTGTATTATTTTTTTTCTCTCTCCTTTTTATTTAATATAAGTAAAAATATGCGTAACTTGTTGAATTTCTAATTAATTATCTGAAATATAGTAAATTTTCCATTTCTAAGATCAGAATATATACAATAAGATTGTAATAAGAAAATAATTTCTATTTATTCCTACTCATTTTATTATTATACTCTTCAGTTATTATAATCTTATTATAAAATTATAACAGATTATATAACAGATTATTATAACAAGTAAAGCATATGATTATATATAACACTATTATATTTATTATATTAAAAACACAGCAGAAATCGAGCACAGCTGTCACGACGTGTGACGGCAAAAACGCAACAGAAATCGAATAGGGCCTGCTAACATAACTGTTGTTGGCAAATTAAACAGAAATCGAGCAAATTCTGTTTCGTAAATATTTAAATTGTTATTACTAAAAAATTTTCTCTATTATTTTTTCTATCTCTTATTTTAGAAGAATAATTTTTAATTATTTTACTAATGATATAATTAATATATTTTTTACAGTACAAATAACTTATAAAAAGCTTCTTAAAGATATAAGTTGTGATTCTTTTAATTCTTATATAACGTATCAAACATTGTACATTTTATATAATGTACTATTTCCCAGGTACTACACTTCGTCAACTACCTTGCTGGATAATTACGTCTTACATCAAGCGCATCATAAAAATAAATTATAAATGCATGTTTAGATATTTAATACGATTTCGCTTATATAGAAAGTTTGATAAATTTTATATGCGAGAAACGGACGCAACCTAGCGGTAGTTTTCTAATTATTGTGTTTAGTGACAGACGCAGAGTTTTGCACGATTTCTGTTGTCGATTTGTCGACAGATTATTCCAGTAGACCCTACTTGATTTCTGTTACAATTTTGCCGCTACGACATGACGGCACACTGTGCTCGATTTCTGCTGCGTTTCTGCTGTCAGTAGACAGCACTTCTGACGTTACAGCTCGTGTTGCATTCTTGCTGTCACAGTATAAAAGAATAAAGCTGCCAGATATTTACTACATTTTTGCAACATGTCTTGACGGCATATCATGCTAAATTTTGAAGTATTTTCTGTTGAATATTGTGGCAACACAAAATGCTTGAATTCTGATGTATTTATTTGACGACAAGCTTTGTTCAATTTTTACAACATTTTTGCAGCACGTTATGATGCAGAGTTTGCTCTGATATGTGCTACATTTTTGTTGGCAGTATCTGTTACAGCAGCCCATGCTGGATTGCTGCTCGATTTTTGCCGGCATAACATGTATCATAACTTCGCAATTTGTGCTTTTGACACGTTTTGCTATCCGGGTATGGATTAGATCGAATCTGCTTTAAATTGTGTAACTAAGATAATTTGCAAAAGATAATACTTACTTTATCTAAGATAAAGAAAAAGCTAATATATATTCTAATTATCTAACTAAAAATAAAGTTATTTCTTCATTCAGATAATTATATAAATAATTTTAGGTAGATAACAAACAGTGACAACAATATTTTTTAATTTGTATCAAATAAAGAAATCTGTTTAACGATTTATCATATTCATAGAGACCGCATTAATATTTTCTTGCTTAAAAATAGTTATTTCCGGTTCAAATTAGGTTTCCGGTTTTAGAACGGATATTCATTATATCATAAAACATAATTTGAAAATAATTAAACGTAACTGCAATTTTGAAAATTTTTTGCTTCTATTATGGATTTTTAGAAACATTTTAATAATTATATTATAAAATTTTATTATATGATTATTAATAAAATATCTTGTTGGATAATATTCAACTGCTTAGATTTCATGCATTTTACTCAAAGATAAAACTATTTTCAAACGAGAGTTCTCATTAATTTGCTCATTAATTTTGCTTAGTGAATGCCTCAAAGAATTTGTGATGCCATTTTGTAGCTTTGAGTAAGCAATGTCGGCCCAATGTTATGTTTTCTCAATTATCAATGCTTCCAATTAAAACCAAATAAGTGGCCAACCAATATATACTACTCGAGATTCTTCAAAGATGTCGAGTCCTCATATTTCGTAAACGAGACTTAAAAAGATATTTTCCGTTGTTCCTCGATCTGTTCGTCGATTCTATGTAATATTGTTTCGAGATATAAGTTGTTCCAGTTGTTTCTCGTCATTTAAGAATCACCCATCTCGCGTGGAAACACAAACACTTCCAAGTCTTCGTGCCCGCGCAGCTTTATTTTTTTAGACTACCCTCTTATGTAGCTGCCATCTGCGTGCATACCGACTTTATGTCGCTCGTCTGCCGAATGCGAACGGCAATCCGCAACCTTCGACGGGTGTAAAGCACCCTGCGCACCCATCTTCCACCCTCTTTCCGATATGTTTTTAAACAACACCTTCTCATATGTCTCTGTACAAAAATAAAAACTTCATGTCATCGCACACAGTCTTGAAACTTTTTACAGACTTTCTCATGTATGTACAATTTTACAAAAAGCATAATTTTGCACAGACATTATCCGGAATAATAAAATAGGGGAGATCAAAAAATTAATCATGTGAGTAAAGTGATAAACAAGTCATAAAACTATAATTTTGGAAAATGTACGAAGTATTTACTGCTACAAGTAAAAAAAATCTCATTTCGTTGTTCACATAATGCCTCAAGAGGGATATTATTGATGATGGGACCAGAGTATCGCTACGTCCTCTGTTTTAAAACTATTTATCATGTGTAGGAAAGCTACACAACTACCGAAATAACTGCATTAATGTATGTGTAACGGGACAAAAATATAGGGCGATAGCTTTTGTCAAGTACGTGTGGCTTGAGAAAATGCTTCGGAGAAGAAGAAGAAGAAGAAGAAGAAGAAGAAGAACCAGCGCTATTCTTGCGTCCAGGTGTGAGCTTGTAACGTCAATGTAAATATACAACACTTACGCCATTCCGACGGAAGCTTTTTCGGAAACTCTTAACGTATCTTCCCCCTGTCCTCCATCTCCCGCCTTACTTTTGTGTTTCGACTTATTTCTCGTCTACTTGGTACGTGTTTTGATCTTCAGAAACTATAAACCACCGGCTTTATTAACGATCCGCTAGACGAGGATCGTCCCTGCATTGAATCGGCATTATCCCGACGGGATCGGAAACAACATCGATCGTATGCCAATGTCGAAGAGCAATTCTTTAAAATTATTTCGGATCTGCGCGCGCTGTGCCATTCACAGAAACGGCCTTTCATCAGTCGTTGCCGTTTACAAGGGAGAAGAAATAAACTCTCGTATCGCTCCGCATAAAGTAGTAAAAGTGTAAAATATGTAGAATCTAAAAAATCTGAAATCGAAAGTTTTATATTTCTCTTCTCTTTCGCGCATTCGAAATATAAACATTGACATGATTTAATGCATTACAATTAAATACAATCGATTACAAAATATAGAGAAAAATTTGTTTCGTCTTAAATATTTTATTAAATGTCATTGTATGATGATTGATATGTTGTAAATGTAGTATTTTTTTTTTTTTTTAGTTGTCCAGAGTTCGATTTGCACGTTGTACAAATACGTTATGTCGAGTGACAAGTGATTTCTGACAAGTTTCGGAGCGAGTACATATGTGTGGACTAAGATACATTCATCAGGACATCGACTTACATCGAGAAGTATACACATGACTTCTGTACATTCATGTTCACCAGTCGACTTGTTTATCATGATCGGAAGCTGAAAAGTCGGGTTGTTCGCCAAGAGCAGAAGGGAGTGAGAGGTGGCAGTTCGTTAGGCAATAATGTATCAAGTTGATCACGATGGCGAACGTTAAATTTTTTATTTTTGTTCAAATTAAATAATAGATGGATTGATAAGAAAAAAGTGTGCCACTCTTTACCGATTTTCCATGTCCTTTTAATTAAACTGTACAATTATAAAATTATCAGGGATTTAAAATGAAAACATAAAGTGCGGCTGAAATACAAATAAATAAAATCTTAAGTTGTTAATAATTAATAATAATAACAATAATAACAATGACAATAATAATAATAGATAATTAATAATTCTTAATATTAATATTTTTTTAATAATTTGACTTGCCAAATAAATTAAATCGTAAATAAATTAAATCGTCGTTAAATAATGAAGAATATTCACAGAGGCACAGATCACAGAGTTATTAGAAGTTTAAGAGAAAAACCTTTAATGCGGCTGAAATAAATAAAATTTTAAATTATTAATAATAATAATAATAGATAATTAATAATTCTTAATATCTTTAATAATTTGACTTGTCGATGTAAATAAATAAAATTGTCGTTAAATAATAAAGAACATTGTATTCTCTGGGACGATTATAAAACGATGATTCGACTTACTTCATTCAGCTGTTATAAATGCGGCACGTTTCGAATTTAGAAAAAAGAGTTAGAAAGGAATATCTGCATGTTTCCTTCGATTGAGAATAAATAAACGATAAGCAGCGGTGATAGCGTCAGCAAGTTACAAGCAACGCGTAATGATATGACGCGCGCGTCGACGCGTGTTCATTTACACACAAACGATTTAATTACCATCTTCAGATAAAATAATCCAATATCTTTCAAGGAGAAATCGCTATCTTGAAATAACTAACGGTCGATAGATTCGTCTAGGAAGTCGAAAGAATTTTTTTTCTTTTTCTGTTGACTGTTGAACGGCTTGAAGAGATTTCCAGCGTCTGTGTATCTTCACATACAAACTTCTGTCCATTTATTATATATATATATATATATATATATATATATGCAATATTCACGCGTAGGTGCATAGTTCGGAATCACGTATCAGGTGTCACCAATCGCAACCGGCAAAGACGCACCCTTCTTTTAAGAAATTCGGAGGCTTACGGCGAATTATCGTTGCTAACGTAGGTCGGACCGATGATGAACCGAGTTAAAATCTCTCGTAAATCCCTGTCACGTGTGTATGCGTGTATAGATTCACGTACACGCGTGCCTCACGAGTGATCGTGGTGGTGCTTCGCGTACACGTAGCAAAGCGAGGGAGTCTCGAAGGCGGTCTTCAGTTTCGGTTAAGCATTCGTCGAAGAGAGAGAATCCATCTCGCTTCGTTCTCCGGGTTTCCACCTACGCCGTTTTCCCCCGTCAAGTTAGCCCGGGTGTCACACCGAGGTTTCGGCTTCCGGCTTAAAGCTTTAGCTACCCACCCACGCTGTCGCCGTTCCTACGGGGAGTGCGTGCTCAAAGGACTTCCGTTCTCCAACAATATGATTGGTCGCTACTACGGGTCCGATCTCGGCCAGATTTATGAAAAGGACCGGCAATGGAAATTGGAAAAGTCTGAAATCAATGTGACTCTAAATCGGGAATAAAAGTAGAGAACAAAAATGTGGAATTCGTTCGGTATTTTATTATTTGTCACGTGATGGTGCGTATGATGTAAAAACGAAGGAGAAAGAGAAAGAAGGAGATTCTGTGATTTGTCATCGTGGCGACAATCATCCACGGCAATTTCTCGGATTTTTGATAAGACTTCGGTCCATTCGGATATCAAGGTCCAATGTGACGTTTATTTAGCAGCAGTTAATACCGAGGAATCTCTCTCGCCAAAAGTAATGCAATTAGTATGTCGATGGTAATTGTCGGTTTATCGTAAAGAAGAAAGTGCAAAGTGCGGCAAACGAGTGCGAAGAATTATTTTTTTCAACCGGAGAGGGTGGTTTAGTTCATTCGGCGTTTATTTGCACGGACGCACGATGCACAGACAAAGAATGTCGAGAAAAAGAGGTCTTTCTCCTCCCGAAACACGAATAGGTAAGATTACCTCTTTAATCTTTGCATATAAAATCCTGTCATTTCTGTTATATTAAATATGGATATTTTTCTTCCGAATGCAATAAATTTTTTTCTCGACATAAATATCATTAAGACATTAATTAAGGGTACAAATGATTAATATTATAATAAATTATAATATTAATTATATTTAGAAATTATTATGCATTATGATATTAATTATGTACGGAAATTATAATAAATTAATTTGATAATTTCTAAAAATTATGTAGCTTTTTAACGGGAAATATACTTTTTATAAACAATTTCCGTTGTTATATTTTTTACGTAATTAAATACTTATAAAGAAACTGAAAGTTTGTTTTGACATACGCGTTTGCTTGCGCCAAGAAATCTTGAAAGCTTCTTTTGAGAAATCTGAATACACACGGTGGCTTGTTCCTCATCTCATTAAGTTAATAGATTCGTGGAATGAACAAGAGTCGTCTAATTTGTATCAAATTCAATTAGGCCTGTTACCGTAAAGTATCAAGAATCTACCATAATCAGTGATAATTATATACATAATTACTTCAGAAATTATTCAATGTTGATTATAAGAAATCATTAAACCGATAAGAATTTTACTGCTGTTTTGTGAAAGAGTATTATCTCAAATGAATTTTAATTGAAATATTTCTACATGTTGCATTTCTATTTCTATCAAATATTTTGCTTGCATAGTGCATTATTGTTTAAATATTTGAGTTAACGTTTATGTTAGATAAGAAATAGAAAACTATAAATTGACTAATATTCCAAGAATCAATGAAGTAATTCAATGACGAATCAATGATCATATCTACGTAGTAACCTACAAGTATTTATTTCTGTTTAAAATTTTATAAAAATTTAAAGAATTTAAAAATTTTATAAAATTTCAATAAAAAAATATTTTTTTATGTGAATTTATAATATAATAACTTTTATAATTTACTACATACTTTCCTTAATATTTAAATTTGAGATAATATTTGAGATAAGCGATTAACGTGACGGTTAAAAATTTGTTTGTGATAGATTGTCTTATTATAGACTATTATATTATATTTATTAACAAACATCCTATCTGCTTTTACTTTTAATTATTAACTACTTAGTAATAATTTAAAATTATTGTGTTTTTCGTAATATACAAATTTCTTTTTATATAATATATATAAAAATAAATATAAATTTATTATTTAAAAGGCACAATATGTAAAGATACGAATATCGGAAACTAGATTAAATTTATCTACTATTTATCTATTTTTTTAATTATCTTATTATTTAATTATCTTATCTTTTTTTCTTTTTTTCAACAAATCAACAGATGTTCTTCTGGGAAGAAATCAGAAACCAAACCTAGTTTTTATTCTTGACTGTTATCTTTAATATCGGGTATCTTCGAACTTTTGATAAGTTTGCCTCGAGATATATCATTAACAACATTTATAGATAAATGTTAAAGATAATTTTTATTTAAAATTACATATGTAATATCACAAGTAAGACAAAAAACAATAAACATTTTCTTTTTTCATTTATAAGCTTAGTAAATTAAATAGAATCAGTATTAAATTACAAACAAACACATACATAGTAAAAATGATAGCGTGTTAATAATAAGAGATGTAAAGAAAAATGTAAATAAAATTTAAATAGTTCGTTTTAAAAGAATTTCGATAATTATTAAACAGATTTCATTATTAAAATAAAATTATAAGTAAATGTAGCTAATTAGAAATTTTCGATCTCTTTCAATAATCTTTCACCCTAAAAAAATAGAGATAAATAAGGTTTCAAAGATAAATAAGGAGTCTATCAATGATAAACCTCCGATTTTACATACATTTGTATTTGTATTTGTATCTATATATATTGTTTCACGATCATCCCATGATATTTCCCACCGATTTCTTTCAGTATCTCCATGAATCGTACATTTAGGCAGGATGATGCGTCCGTACATATAATGCCTCTATTGTAGTCTATAGACTTAAAGCTTGGATTCGCAAATAAACGCGTCTCAGCACACGTGATTGCATTGAAATTTCCAAATTTACCATCAACTAACCGTAACAGTTATAAAGATAATATATCAAGTTCGATTAGGTTCACATGTCATTCCCATATGTTACTGTTTTTATTAAGTCCAAAGCATTCGTCAGTTTGACTACTCAGTAAACTATTTTAGCATAGTAAGAATTTGAATTGAACATTTGTGCACAGAATGTTTATCTGAATTTTAATGATAAACTAGAAATATTCATTTTCAACTTTAAAACAGCCGACACAAAATACAATTAGATATCAATTTTATAAATAAAAATTATAAAACGGTTATTTGCAACTTCTGATACAAATTTATATAAATTTCCTAACAAATTTTAATTCAAGATTTGATTTAAATTACCAAGACGCTTGATAATAAATATATATAGAAAAAGTAATTAATAGTGGCTTTCTTTAAACATTTCTTTGAAAATAATTAAATTTCGCACTCGTCAAGAAAACATTATTATGTAACAGATATAAAAACTAAGTTATGTAAATAATTTTGCATTACATCATAATTACTGGATATAAAGCATAAACTAAAATAATTCTTCGCAAACTTTACTACGCACGATATTCGATGCTATCGAGGGTCAACTGACGGAGCCAATAGTGGTTTCTATGTCGCGTATGTGGCAAAGAGCAGAGGTCAGTAATAATGTAATGTAAATGCGAAAATGCGGCGAAATGTCTGCAGCTGCATAATTGATTGGCGATGGATGGCATCGAAGCGAATTAATCCTCGATAAATTGTAAACGCGAGATCGCTGCCGGATTCCTCCGGATTTCCTCGGGTCCTCCTCTCGAGATGGTCAAACGAGATGGCCGATCGTCAAACGTGATCGCGTCGCTTCTATGAACGAAGGAGAAATCATTTCCTTCTTCTTGCATTTCTGTCACACAAGACTGTGATGAGTCATCTCGCTCATTGGCTCATTACGTTTTACGTTTTATTTCACACGCGTTGCGATCAATATCGCTGAACGCGGCGTGTCGAGTGCGCCGATTGATCGCTCTCGCTGAGAAACGAGTCGATCTACGTAAATACGGGAGAAATCTTGTAATGAAGATATATTTTAACGGGCATGGAATATACGGGGCGATAATAGGTATACATAGCGAGACTCGTTGTCGGAGAGCGCTGACCGCAGAGATAACGCTTTGACCCGTTACAAGCTCCAAGAGCTACCAAATGAATGCCTTCACTGTCTCTATCTTCCTGTGCCCAATCCAAATATGCGGCCCTTTTTCTTTCCTGGCTGCCCTTTACAGTCCGTTTGCGATGGTCCTGCGAATCTGCGACGGCGATCTCTTTACTCTCGGCACGAACGACGCGGGGCGACGGCGAGATTTCGTTCGCCGCAATCAAATTCTCCTGCCATTGTGAAACATTGTAATTCAAATGGAATTTTAAAGCCTCTATTTTTGCGAGCCGTTTATTTATGCGAGTCGTATATGATTTATTTATTCAAAGCTGAAAGGTCACATAAATATCTTTACTAATGTTCTTATAAAAGCAGTTTTTCCAACATTTTAAAACATTACGCACGTTTCCTTATCACGTAAAGATTCTACGAGGCAATAGATTCTTAATTTTATTAATAATGGGTAAGACTTTATTATAATAATAATAATTGGTTTATTATATGTTTGTTTGCTTTACAGATTGAAAGTAACATGCACGCAACAAAATTATTTCCTGAAAAATAAATTTGTTTATTTTTAATATATTTTGCACAAACGAAACGAAAATCCTTAACTTTCTGTTAAATTTTAATGATATTAAATATATATTCATGAGACAAACTATTCAAACTAAATTTTTTCGTTTTTAAAAAAAAAAAATATTAGCTTTTGAACTTCCGAAAATATAGATTAACTACTGAAAAAAGATAAAAGATGAAAAAAAAAACAAACAATCCTGTTGCAGATTTATCAGTGAACGCACCAAATCAACACAAATCAGACGTGCAATCGAATTATGAAACTTTCGAGATTAAAGCATGCAAGGATAATCCGCATATTTGCGGAAAGGAAGCGGCCTGCCGAAGTTTCCCGGATAGCACTTCGAAATGTGTGTGTCCACATGATTCATCTCTACCCACATCGGACTTAAGATGCCCGAATCGTTTAACCGGTAAAGTTACTCAACTCTTAGAACTCTTCATTACGGAAGAAAAGCAATGGATACAATAACTAACTAATTTAATGGAAAATTGAAAATTATTTCATAAAAAAAAAATCAATGTTACAATTAATTCAAACATGATGTAATAAGACAATAATTTCTTACAGTTCCTGCAACGCCACGTCCTATACATAATATTATTCTTCCAAACGGTAATATTGGAATAAGTAGTACGAGCACGCGTGAACCGGAAACTGAACAGGTAATTTCATCGCTTCCACATAATTCTACATAATTTGTGATATCATAACGCGTATCCAGGATTTTTTTTGTAGGGGAGTTTTCATCAATTTTATTAACACACATAAACAGTAATTTTTTGTGTTAATGAATGCTTTGCTTTTTTGGATATTTTAGAGCTTAGAGTATCTTCTCGTTCCTAATTTTGAATGAGAAAAATATTAGATTTTGTAATTTTAACTTTTTTAACTTTAATTTAACTTTTTTTTTTAATTTCGGGAGAGTTTGGACTCCCTGAATCTTTTTCCCCTGGATATGCTCTGAATAATGCGTTACTATAAGATGTTAGCATTAATTTAAAAATATAATTATTTAGAATTAATATTACAGGTGGAGGAATTAAAATTTAAAGTACCTGAAATAATAGGAGTAACTATAGCTTTTGTCACAGTAATTCTGCTTTTGTTAAGCATTGTGTATGGCATAAGAAGGCGAAGTTATAACATAAAATCACAAAGAAATCCTCTAGATGTAAGTTGTTATATTTTTTGTCATATTTTTCAAATAACGCTTATTCTTTCATACATCAAACTATTATATTTATTGCAATTATATTCTTTCTCTTACTTCTATCTATCTTTTTCATAAATCTAAAATTTTATGCTTTTTATGCTGTTTTTTTTTTTTAATGTTTTAAGTGTTATTCTAAATATAATTTCTAAAATTATTTTTTCAATTTTAATTTCTGCATTCTTTTATTAATAAATAATTATATATAATGCCAGAATCTTTTAGTAATCATATTTTTATTAATTTTTAATAATTATTCCTAATTTGTCGTATCTTGCCAGGGAACTCCAATAAATCTAAAGAAAGGGATATTATTAGCGCATAAGTATACGTCTAATCCTCAATATTTCATCTGCAATTCTCCAGAAGTCCCGATTATACAACGAGAAAGCCTCACTTTCCTGCATGACATCGGCGAAGGATGCTTCGGAAAAGTTTACAAAGGTAAATAAAATCATTTTATGTAAAATGAATGTAAGTAAAAATGTAAAGTAAAGAAGAAACAAAATTAGTAAAGATTCATAAATAAATCTTTCTCCCCAGAGAATAAAATTAATTCTTATTTCAAAGAAATTAGAAAAGGAAGCCATATAATAAATACCTCTCAATGTTTTACACATTGGAGTTATCGTCATAGAATTGCTACATAATACATGCTAGAATTTTTGCAATAAAAATCTTACAGGTGAATGGCGCAACGGAGACGCGACAGAAATTGTCGCCATAAAGGTCTTAAAGGACACCGCCACGCCTGAAACCGAACAGGACTTTATGCGTGAAGTAGACATCATGTCCACGTTTGGTCACACGAATATTTTGTCCTTGAAAGGCATGGTACTGCGAGACACGACGAACAATCCATGGATGGTGTTCGAGTATATGCCGTATGGCGACCTCGCCGAAGTACTACGGTCGAATTCTTCACAATTCAGACCGTCAAAATCCGAACTACAGCCATTAACAAAGGTATCGCCATTACCTGGTAATTACCTAGCTAAAAAAAATTTGCAAAAAAAACATTTCGGTAAAATACGCTAAAATTTCATGTTTAACTGTCGTAACAATTCTTATATTTTACATCATGACTCATCGTTCACGCAGATTATTATGATCTTCTTCTATCTGAACCGCTTTGTATGTCACGCACGTGCATGATACATATGTAATTCTAGTGAAATTTTTTATCAGTAGAAGTAATCGTGATAATAATAGCGTGTCATTATTTATAGGATTCACTACATTGGATCTCGATTCAAATTGCGGCTGGCATGACTTACTTGTCGGCGCAAAGATTTGTGCATCGTGATCTAGCATGTCGAAACTGTCTGGTAGGTTCAGGCTTAGCAGTGAAAATCGCAGATTTCGGCATGTCGCGAGACATTTACACTTGCGATTATTACAAGGTGAATTTTTTTTTTTTTGAAATTTATATAGATGATATATTTATACATGGAGACTCGTAAAAACATTTTCTTAAAAAGAAATTATTTGAGAAGAGATCTTCTTATATTATCTTCTCTTTTCTCGATACACTTATTATATTATTAGCAGGAAATAATTGTGTAATTTTTAAATCGTACAATTATTTATAATTATAATTAACGTTCAGATTGGAGGATCACGTCTGTTACCAGTTCGTTGGATGTCACCCGAAAGTGTGATATATGGAAGGTTTACCTTAGAGACCGACGTATGGAGTTTTGGTGTTGTCCTCTGGGAAATATATTCATTTGGAAAGCAGCCATACTATGGATTCAGTAACGAAGAGGTCAGATCATATGTAAAAACAAGCAGACTACAAAAATTCCTTCGCATCAATTCTACGGGAGAATTTCGAACTTGCTTCTCGATATTTGTTCCCAGGTTGTGAAACTCATACTTCAAGGAACGATGCTTACTCCGTCAGATGAATGTCCGCCTATCGTTTGTCAAATAATGTACGACTGCTGGAAGATTGAGCCGCGGGAACGAATCAAGTTTTCCGATATTCTAGAAAGATTGGAAAAGGCGCAAGGCGCTAAATTAGCCCAGCAAGGGACATTGCCCAGACCGCCGCAAGGTCCGGTGACAGTGCGTACTCCGGATGTTTTAGATCCGGACGGTTACTTGCTTCCGGCTCCTACGATTCCTCGCGAATATCTACAGACCCTTCCAGCTCTGTCAGACTAATACATTTGTAATATTGAGAAAAAAAATCTCTGAAAATCTCCTGTAAATCTCCAAAAGCTGCTCCTTCGCATAAGCGCATAAACGCGATGCAAAAGATGAACCGAAGGAAATCTGAAATCTGGATGAATTCTTTGAATAAAATGAAAGAAAAGATAAAGTCAGTAAGCAAATAAAGATAAAATAGTAATATAAAGTTGTAAAGTATACAGCTTAGTATACGTTAAAACTGACGAGTTAACGTTATACTAAGTAATTCTTGTTATTTTCGTCAGAATGGACGGTGCTTTACTATTAAAACGATTGGAGATAGAAAAAAATATTATAAGGCAAAATTGAATGATAATAATTTTAAATGCTTTGCATTTCTATATTCTATTTTCATAGATTTTTATACATAGATCACAAAAATGCATATGTCTATTTTTTATACGTTTTCTTTTTAATAAAACTTCGTATATTTTGATGTACTAATTGGTATACAGTATTTCTTTTTAAAAAAAATAATTGTAAAGTTTATTTAAAAATTATTATATAATTTAATAATTTAATAATTTAATACTTTTAAAATTACCTTCGATTTCATTTTGAAAAAAAAAAAAAACAAAATATCTCAAGAAATATTCAATTTCTCAATTATTTTACACATAGAATAAGAAACAGATCAGTTAACATAAATAAAATATATATTTATTTTCTTAAAAAATATATATAATTATATATTACAAATTGCATTGTATTTTTTAAGAGACAATTGCAAATTTTCTTTGTATAAATTTATTTCATTATTCTTTAGATAAAAGTATTAATATATGATTATTAAAAAATAAATATGTTATGAAATATTTCATATTTTCTATCTAAATATATCAAAATAAAATATTAAAAAGATTTGTAAATTAACAATTTTAAAATATAATGTATAATAGTTTATTTGTAGAAAAGAAAAAGTTTCATTGATTAGTGCACTCAAAAATATGAAAAAAATTTATTTTTAAAAATATACAAAAGAATTGCGCTTTGTAACAGCACAAAGACACATAAAAATAATATATAAATGCAAAGCATACTTTGAAATATGAAATATAGCTTTTGCTTTATAACATTTTTTCTACTTTCAGTTAAATACTCAGTCAATACGTTCAGTAAAATACTCTGTATATAAACAAATGTAAATATTTTATAAAGACTTTGATAAATTTGAAATTAATTTTTATAATTTTTCAAATCTCAAATATTATATACTTTTGTAATTAAGTTTAATTAAAAATTCAATAATTTTTATATCAATTTTTTAATGTAATTTTTTAAGGATTTTTATTAAAAAGATTAATTTGATTCAATTAATCGAAATATTTTTATGGCAATTTTTATGACTTCGAGATGTCTTGGATAATAAAATTTTTATAATAGAAGATTTCGATAAATATCTATTTAACATTTATGATCCTGTATTACAATTTAATTAAAAAATGCTAAACTAAATTATAAAATCAATTGTATGACACTTTATTTTCACTAATTAACCAATTGGTTAACAAACTGAAAATTTTAAATTATAATAGAAATAAATGATTATAGAACACATTCTCATAATAATTATAATTAAATATAAAAAATATAAAGTATGTGTTACACGAGGATTGTATGAAAGCTTGAAGTATTAAAGCTTTCAAACATACGTCCAAGAGATAGTATTAATGTCATTTATGTTAGGGCTTTTATTAATGTCTTTGAGGTGTTGTAATATTTTGAGATAATTAAGAAAAGTAATAAATAAGAATAAAAAAGTAATAAGTATCCCTTAAAACTGATTGAATTAATTTGGAAATTATATTGAGCTTATTTAATAAAATAACATATCAAATTTTTTATCTGAGCTTTATATATCGATATATTTGCTTGCAAAGAAGTTCCACAAAATGATTAAATTAAGAAATGTGAATAAAAAACATTTTCGATAAATTACGCAAATGTAATTATTTTCAATTTAATAATTATAATAGTGATATAATATTGATTAATGTAATTGATGATTTTTATTAAAAAAAATTTATTGTCATGACAATTAATATTCTCATTTCTCTTCTTCCGATTCAATTCTTAAAAGATATATATTTAAAAGGATTTACAAAAACAAAAAAAAAATAAAACGCAGGTAGGTGTAGGACGCATGATTTTTGCAATACTTTCTGCAATTACTTTCATTTAATAATTTTTAGAAGTGGAAAAATAAATAATGAAAAAATATATTAAAATGATAACATTTTTCAATAAAACAACATTTGCAATCAATATAACATAAGATTATAAAATATATAAAAAAACTCGTTTTTTAATATATTTTAGTAATCAATATTAAATTAGATATTTAAAACTGAATTATACGTATACACGCTTTCATTGTTGATTATATACAATTAAATTCCAGTTTGTGTGTGTGTGTGTGTGTGTGTGTGTGTGTGTGTGTGTGTGTGTGTGTGTGTGTGTATGTGTGCGCGCGCGCGCGCGCGCGCATATAATTATATATATATATATATATTATATTTTAATAATATGACAGTCCGTATCGGTCAATTCAAAGAATTAATTAAATCGTCGAGTTGGTAGAAATGATCGCTTTAATAGAATTAGAATTTATACAAGAGTGGTTTTTTGCGGCGCGTCTCAACTTCGTCTCGCAATTGAATATCCCGATCTGCTCGCAAGGTCGATCGTCCACATATCATCTTTCTTCCAGATCTTTCTAATAGAAAGTCAAAATATTTTCATTTTGTTATTATTATCAATCTTCGTTATATTTTAAATGTTTTGAATGATTATAGGAGTTGCAAATTATTTTACTCCACGACCGCAAGTACCGAATTTTAATTGTCATTAAATCTATCCGAATCCTACGTAACGAGGCATTCGGGAGATGTGAACAGTATATTATTCTCGCTCAGCGCGAAACGGCTGAGCAAAATTCGAGTTTAAAAAAAGAATACAGTTATTATTTTTGCTGCCGATTCCGCGTAAATATATAACGGCTCCGAGTATTCTAGCTGTGTGTGCGTGTATATGTGTGCCTATCTAACGACATCGACAATTCGACTTTAAGAGTCGTGGCGATATACTCGCCACAATATATTGATTAGAAAAATTTTCGTTGTCCTTTCATTTTTTTTTGATGTCGTTATTCAAGTTTGATAAATCGACAAAAGTTTGAAATATTTTTTCAAATTCGCTGCATTATATACAGTCATTCAATGTATATCCTGATTTCTCATAGTTCAATAAAAGTGCGGTTAAATCAAACTGCGATGAATATAGGACAAATTAATCTACATTGAATCGGTGTGAACAGAAGCAGAAGAAAGGATCTTTTTTTTGTTTCTTTTAAAAACATTTTAAAATAAAATGTGAGAAAAATAGGAAAAAATTTAGTAATAAAATATGTATCGGGAAAGAGATCGCGGATCCAGACGTAAGACTGATTCTCGGCTGGCGACGCGTTTTTCCGGGAGCTACTTTGATTATTGTTGCTGTGATACGACAGTCTATTGTTTCGAAGATATTCTCGGGAAGAAGAACGAGACAAGACACGTACGAAACGAGACGAGACGGGACGTTCGAAACGCGCTGCCTCTGAATTCGCGCGCGATTATCCGGCTGCGTTATCCGACGTTTATCGGACGTTGTGCCGGCGACGATCACCGGGAATGTACGAGGATTGCGTGCTGCAATCGATGCGGTTTCCGCAAAAGCTGTGGCGGATCGTGAACGAGTGCAAAACCGGGGCGATCCAATGGAGCGCGAACGGCGACACCATACTCCTCGATTACAAGAAATTCCAAGCGGAGTATCTGGACGCGCGCCGGCCCATCTTCAAGACGAGCAACATCACGAGCTTCATCAGGCAGCTGAATCTCTACGGCTTTCGCAAGGTCGCGTACCACGGTCGCGACCAGATGTGCAACTCCTGCAACCCGCATGTGCACGAGTTCCTGCACGACAACTTCCGCGCCGACCGGATGGATCTGCTCTCCAAGGTGTGCCGGAAGGCTGGCGGAAAGAGCAGGTGCTCGCAGCAGGAAGCTGCGAAAGCCACGAAGGAGAGTTCGCAGTCGGAAGCGAATCGTGTGTCTCGCTTAAAATTGTGCCAGGTATATCAATCATCAAATGGGAGGATCAACTTTTTTTGTTCTATTCTATTTCTTATTTATTATATATAATAAAAAAGTTCATATAACTTCTCATTTGCGTTGTAAATTAATGATTAAAATGAGACAAATTTGATATTATTAATTCTTAATAATATTTATGTGTATAAGTTAATTAGATGCCCTTAGATTTATCTATTCTTATTGAAACCACGCCATCTTTTTTCATGCTAGAATCCGGTGATTGCTCGAACAGTAGTCTAAAGTTATAGAAAATAATGGAATTTCGATTATTTTACAAATAAAATCTGAATTTTGTAAAAGTAGGCACTAAATTTATATATTTTAATATTATTTAATATATTAGAATTTTCAAAATATTTATAATTTTTTTTAACAATATGATTTGCATTTATGTACATACATGTAATATTATAATTATCATGATTTACAAGTTGGCTCTAACTGAAACTTTGGAGCAAATTATTCAAGAATATCGGAAAGAACATAATCAAGAAAAAAAACCGATTATAATGAAGGATGACACTCTGAAAAGAATAAGAAACTCTCAAGAAAAAGATGCAGGTATAATAAATACTGAAATTTATATTAGAATATATTCAAATTTTTCACAAAGATCACAAAGTTTAGTTTTCTTATCAATTTTCTAAGAGCAGAATAATAAATTTTTATTATAAGTTACACTTAAATTATTTTATTATGATGCAATTTGTATTTTTGATTATCTGCATTATCTGTTATATTTTGTCATAATAAATTTTTACAGATATATGACATTTTGATGAATAGAAAAAAAAGATTTTAATATATATACTTCGAAACCAATTATATATATTCTTGATATCATGAAAACCTGTTTTTATTATTAGTCAATAAGAGAATTACATTTATAATTTTTCACATGTTTCTCATTTCATCAAAATCTTAGCATAATTTAAATGCTTGTACTTTTTTTTATATATAAAGTTTTGATACTTATGTTTTATATATTTAACAAATATGTATCACTTATTAACATCAAATTTTTTCTTTCTTAAACTTTAACTCAAAAATTATTATAATTTCAATAATTCTTATATGTCAAATATTAATGATTTAAATATTGTCAACTATATATGTTTTAGTTCCTGTTTTGTACGAGATAGAATTCAATGGTGTTCCAAATCGGAAACCTATCAAAGAACAAAATATAAAATATTCGGCATTTCTTCCTGTTAAGATTGATACATCATCTGAATGCAAATCTGTCTCATCATCTTGGCACATTGCTACCATGAATAAATGTAACCTGCATTTCAATATTCAAAACATTCATTAAAATCAGTTGAAGCTTAAAACTGCTTTTTCCTTGGATTATTTATATTGTTCACAACATATAAAATACTTATAAAGTTTCTATGTTACATTTATTAAATTATAAATATTACATTAAATAACGATAATTAGTAATTGTTGATAAGAAATGATTACTTATTTATAATCGTTATAATAAACTCTATTGCAATGTATATACAATAGTGAAAACTATCAGTATTAATTGGAGTTTAAATAAAAAATTTTATTTTATGATGGGAAACAAGATTTGTGCGTCTTTTTTTCTTAATCAGACCATTTGAAAAAAATTAAAACATTAATTTTGTTGTTAAATAATGTATTTGTAAATAAATCTATAAAAATACGTTGAATTAAGATAGTCCATTTTTACTTGTACTAGGTTCAGATTCTTGATTATTCCTTCGTTTAGCTTGTTCCATTTTATGTCTTTCTAAGAAAGTTTTAAATGATTCCTCATCTTTCTTTTCATCTTCATTTTCCTCAAAATCATTTTCCGTTCCATCCTCGTCTTCACTTGATTCATTACATGCATGTTTCAAATAAATTTCCGAAGTCTCGCGACCATTATTGACCGTTGTCACAAGAGATACAGTTTCTCCCATTACTTTTTTACTAGCCTTTTCTAATTGTTCCTTCTCTATTTTTTTTCGTTGAGTCTCCCTTTCCGTCTTAATTCTATCCCAGTCTTTTTTATAAGTTCTTTAAAAATAAATTATTACTCTATATTACGAAAAATAATATATAGAAATGTGCGATGCACTAATATGGCAATATAAAATTATATAAAATTATGTATAATTAAGACATGGCACTTCTTACGTTTCATATTCTTTCACAGCAGCTTCAACTAGCTCCAAAAACTTATCAATTCCAGCACCGGTTACCGCAGAAACGCCACAGCATTGTAAATGACTATAAAATTCATCCAGCGTAAGTGCCATGCTACGTGTTAAGTTGTTGATATAACCACCTTCCATATCAAGTGCTTCTTGAAAGGCTTCGAAATCGTGCATCCATTCAATTGCATATCTATGTTCAACAATATCGATCTAAAATTGATATCAATATTTATTAATTGTATCTAAATTGTTAAAATATTATATACATAAATTATATATAGTTAAAAAGAGATTTAATTACCTTGTTCATGACTACAATAAAAGGTAATTTAGTCTTATAAAGTATAGAACAAGCATATAACATATTGGACATGAATGTAACAGGATTAACACTCTTAACAGTGTCCATCACGTATACAATAATTGTTGGAAATTGAGATGCTAATGCTTCTGTTATAATTGATCCACTGGCCGACCATGTAAAAACCTCAATTTGCCCTGGTGTATCAAAGATCACATAATTATGTTCTTTATTAGCTTTGTTAATAAGTTCGATAACTTGATGAAACTTTGTAGTAAAAAGATTTAGACTTGTAACTATGCCACCATTTGGGCCCAAGTTATATTGCTTCATCACTTCTTTATAATTTACAGTATCTTTTATATCTAAAAAATATAGTTGTTTAAAATTAATATTGATAATAATTAGCATATAATTGCATGTATATTTACAATACTAAGAGGTCAAAGTTATTAACTAAGCAACTAAGATTAAATATATTTGTAGAAATATATTTACTAGATATGTTTGTAGAATATATTTATCAGAAAAAAATAAAATAAATTTCAAAATATAAAGATTTATTAATGTGAATTCTATTGATCTCTCTATTGACAATCACAAGCTTGATTTTGCATATATATTTATACTTAATATTCTATATAAGTAAATATATATATTTTGTCAAGTTAAGGAATTTATTACCAATATTAGCAGGATATGGAACTTCTCTACAAGCAGGATCCAAATTAACAGCATATGGTTTGCCTATATTATACAATGTAGAAACAAGTCTGGATACAAATGATGTTTTTCCAGCACCAGCCATTCCAAGTACTATGATACATGGTATTTTTCTTTCATTTGTCGATTGATTCTGTGTTGCAGATATGTTAGAAGCAGCATTTTTTGCTTCTGTAGTATTTAAATTATCCTTGAAATCCGTCATTTTTAAATCTGTGAATTTGAAATTGCATATTTCATTTTTACTGTGAACAAAAATTGTTATAATGTATCGATAATATATCTCTATTCTATTTTCCTACTTAGATTTAATAATTAAAAAAGAGATATAATTATCAAAAGAAAGTTATGTAAAGAATACATAATTATAAAAATTTTTTTCTCTGTTATGTATCTGTTATGTATTTCATAAAGTTAACCACATTCGCAAAAATTTCTTTCATAAATATTTATATGGAACAATTTATCTTACAATTTATTTAAATATTTATTCGAAATACATAACAATTATATATATGTTCTTTTACGTACGTTGTGCTTTTATCAATGATTTGTGATGATTTGAACTGATTCAATCGCACTGGAATTAATGCGTGTTCTCATACATAAAAAAAAGTCTATATCTTCTCCCATACAACAAACACGCATTATAGCTTTCGCACCACTGAACACCACTAGCCTCACAGATCATATACTAAGAGAAGTAAAAGCTCTGTATATAAGATGGGCAACAAAAGATGAGACTGCCATCTGGTGGAGTGCGAACTAGCTTGAAATTTACTTCTTTGAAATCAATATTAAATGATAATTAAATAATTAAGTAGGTATGTAAAATTAATAAAGAAAAAGATAAACACTGTACAAAATAAACATATTTATTACAAAATAAATCGCATAAATACATTATGAAAATATTTATAAAATATATCGAATATATCAATATATAAATATATTTTTGTCAATACAAAATTCTATAACAGTATACATGTATAAAAATCACACGCCTAAGTAACGTTATGCTTTTGATAGGTGCAAGTATATGTAATTAATCCCTCATTTTATTTTTAATTTTTTAAATTAAAAATAAAATGAGAGACTAATTATATTTGTTTTTTAACTAAAAATAAAATAATACAAAAAGTAAAATAAAAAATAAAAGTAAAATTAAATTAAAAGAGAACAAAAAAATAAAAGTAAAATAAAATTAAAAAAGAATTTAAAAGTAAAATAAAAATAGAAATAAAAATAAAATTAAAAAGTACAAAGAGCTGATATGACATTACATAAGAATATTATAATGATTTTGAATATTATAATGAAATTATATTGAATATTATAATGATTTGATTTACGTTTTTGATTTCATAGCAGACTATTTTTTTATTTTATTTAAATATCCTTGTGAAATTTGCTTTTCCTGGTTTATTATCTTTAATGTATTTGTAAATAAAAAATGGCACATATTTATTTAAGATCATGTGCTCGCAATTATGCAATGAACATAACAATGAATATGTCAGAGTTTTCAAAATAAGTTTTAAAACGATCTTCTAAGAGAGAAGTATGCCTGTATTGTCTAAAAATTCATACATACATTCATGTATGTTTTTTATAAATCGCATTACATTCTCGTTTGAATACGTTAATCGAGTAATATTATCATACTCTTTGAAAGAAAGAAATATTTGTTTTTCTGTAATTTCTGAAAATAAGTTAACAGGTCTCACAATTCTGTGGAATGTTCTGTGGAATGTTTATTTTTTTAAATATATATCCTGCAACATATGCCAATGCCTGACTATTTTCTGTGAATAATTCATCCTCATTATTTATTATTGTATCATTTAGCATTAATGAAATATCATTCTCTTCTAAAGAGCAATCATTATTATTATTATCAGTATCAGTATCAAGTGTTGTCAATAATGTACATAAATTGTCTAATGGCAAACATAATATTATATAATTTCATAATATTATAATAATATTATAATATCATAATAATTTCATTATATTATATTATATTATATTATTTCATATTATACTTTATTTATGCTTTATTTTTTTTAGCATAAATTAAAGTTATCATTAGTAACTTATTTCAGTCTCCATGGAAGCAGCCATTTTTGTGCTCTGATCTCTGACTGCTTTACTTTGCTGGTAGCAGTAGCCGCAACAGGAAGTATGTCAAAACCAATGACATCATAGACTTCAAGGCAGTACTTTCGTAGTGCACTGCTCTCTATATCGGAACGCTATTCGTAGTACTAACAGTACTCGGAGTGAATAAAGGAACGCACTCTATGTCTTCTGATTTTCACTTAGACAGTGAATATCGGAACGCAGCCACATGATAGAGGCACGTGGAGAGTGTCATAGGTTTTATAAAGGTGTTACTATATAATTAATATTATAGTATTATTATTTATAATAATTTATGAAATAAAGATAAAAGAATAAAATATATCACACTACCAAGATAATACATCAATTTTTAATTAGAATTTAATTTTTAATTAGAAGAGAGAATAAAATATGAGGTTATATATTCATCAACAATTTACAATTGTTTCTTCCAGATTATTGAAGAAAGACATAAAAATTTATCAAAAATGAAAGTAAAGGCAATTGGGAAAGCTCCTGATTTGTCAAGAGGAAAAAAGTTAACATCTATCAAAAAAAAGAAAAGAAACTTGAGCAAGTTAACTATGGAAGAGTTCTTAGAACAAAATTTTGAAACAGATAGTGATGGGCTTGATGGTGAAAATACAGGTATAATTTAAAATATTGATTTTTTTTATCTTAATTTTTGTATTTTTATTGTTTTATTTTTAGCAAATAAAGATATAAGCAAAGATAATGAGTATGTAGATAGCGACAGCAGTGAAGGTGACTTAGACCCTGTAGAGCATAAAAAGTCATTAATAAAGCTGAAAGATACTGATCCAGAATTTTATAAATATCTAAAAGAAAATGACAAGAATCTTTTGAACTTTAAAGTATCAGATATCGAAAGTGAAATAGATGATGATTCTTCAGTAACCAATTCTGATATCAGACATATTCCTAATAAAAATTTAGAGGTATATAATTTATAATAATTTGTATTATTTTATGTTTACTCTTCTATAAACAATATTGAATTTATAGGTGGCTAGTGATGATAGTGATTTGGAACCAGAAACTGGATGTGATGCCAAACAGAAAATCACTTTGCCCTTATTGAAAATTTGGCAACAAGAGATACAAACTGATAAGTAAGTTGTCATCTTTTATTGAAATGATAGATTTTTCATTGAAATGCAATTTTCCTTCTCCGTCCTATTGCTCGTGTCCAAGCGTGATAATCTCTTTCTTATATACCTGTGATGCACACGATGATTATACACAGGTATATAAGATTTACAATTTTAACGCCGGTTCCGAACGGTAAATTTTTGGTAGAGAAACGTTTCATGGCAAAAGTTACTTCTCGATGGGTTGCATTATTCTTAATTTACAGGTCAATAGTGACCATTAGATTTGCTGTAGAGGCTTTTCATGCAGCTTTGGATAGTGTTGCAGTATCACCTGATCCTACCTCACGATGTAAGGTAGAGGGAAGTGCAGGTAAAGCTTTAATTTTTATTGTTAAAACACGTGCTATCTTTTCAATTAATTCTGTTCTAACTTTACAAAAATTATTTTTAGTGTTTAACGGTGTAATGCAGTTGTGTATAATGTATTTACCTGATGCATTTAAACGTTTCTTAAATTTGGATTCGGAATCACAAGAAGCACATAAATCTAAGAGATTTGGAAAAATACGAGGAATTTTAAAATCATACTTATCTGATCTAATCAAAGTGTGTATTTGCAAATTTTTTAATTATTCTGTTGACTTAAATAGTGAAAATAACATTAATGAATGTATCTTTTTTATAGTTGTTACAAAGTGTAGCATCATCCAACATTCTCACAGTACTTCTGAAGCATCTTCGTCAAATGTTACCTTATACTCGTTCATTCTCTTCATTAACTAAACCATTGTTGAGAATTTTGATAAAATTTTGGTCAACTGCAGAAGAGACTGTCCGGATTGTAGCTTTTTTAAACATATTATATATAGCAACTAGCAAAGAAACCGTGTTGGAGAAATTATTGAAGGTGAGATCCATATCTTGCAATAAAATATCTGAATTGTTTGTAGTCACTATTGCATCATTAAGTTTTTTTAGATCATGTATGTGAAATATGTTCAGAATACAAAATTCGTTTCACTTAACACGTTACCAGGAATAAATTTTATGAGACATTCTTTGGTTGAAATTTATCTAATTCAACATGATGTTTCATACAATCATGCCTTCTTATACATCAGACAATTAGCAATTAATTTAAGAAATGCAATAACATTAAAGAAACAGGTAATTATTGAGATAATTCTTTTATCATTTATAACATTTATTATTGACATTTAGAATTAATTTATCTTCTTTCAGGAACATTTTCAAGCTGTATATAATTGGCAATATATAAATTCTTTGCGTTTTTGGGTGGAGTTGATAACCAGGTCAAAGGATAAATCAATGTTACGATCATTGTTATATCCACTAATCCAAGTAAGATTAATTAATATAAATAAACAAATAATGCAAGTATAATAATAATCATTCAATAGAAAAATATATTGACTTATTTATTAATAGATCATTATCGGGACAATAAAAGTTATTCCAACAGCACAATATTATCCACTGAGATTCCACTGTGTAGAAATGCTAATAACCATATCTAAGGATACAGGAACTTTTATACCAGTCTTACCATTTCTCATTGAGGTATTGATTGGTCTTGTTTCTTAATCATCTTATAGCGAATTCGGTTCACTACACTATACTGAATTAGTGCATACTAAATGCGTAATGTGAATTAATGCATACTAAATGCTGACATACATGAAATTATTGAAATATAAAAAACATAAACACTTCAAAGTGACTATGTAAATAATCAACAATTTGTATTATTTAGTTGAATATGAATATTAATAATTTTATTATCAAGGAAGTAATATTATGCTACTACATTTAGATATTTTTTTAGATATTAGATATGTAGCACTAACTTTAATGTTAATGTATCAACCCGGTATAGTGCAGTGAGTCAAATTCGCTATTAATTGTAGCATATACAAATATTTTATGTCAAATTTTTCTCTTTAGATATTAGACTCTTACGATTTTAATAAAAACATAAAGCAGTTTCGATGAAACCTATACCGTTTATTTGCATATTAAGGATGTCAAAATCACAATTAGTAGAGAATGGTTTCAAGGATAGTATTATCGAAGCTGTTTACAAATTTATATTGGAACATGCAGCAAACGAAAGTCATAGAATATACTTCCCGGATGTATATATACCTTGTATAATACAGGTACTTAAAAAAGACAATTTAAACAAAAGCTTTGGAAAAATATAGTATTTTTATTATATATTTTATAAATATTAAATTTTGTCCTGCAGTTAAAAGCGTTTTTGAAAAAATGTCACGTGGCGACTTATTGTAAGAAGATAAAACAACTTTTAAATTTGATTGAAGAAAATAGAAAGTACATTGAAACTGAACGTACTAACGCAAAAATAGATTTGAAGAATATAGCAAAGATTATGAATTTGGAAAATAAAATGAAGACAAATGGTACAGAATTAGCTAAATTCTATGTTTCCTGGATCAAGCTTTATGAATCTCAAAAACTTAAACATCTTACGAAAAACGAAGAAGAAATAGATATACCCGTGAGAAAACTAAAGAAACAGAAACTAAATGAGCAAAATACAGATAGTGAAGAAGAAAGCGAATTTGAACTTACATTGAAGGGAACAAAATCTAAAACAGAAAAGAAAAAGTCATCAAATATAAAGAAAACTGTTAAGAAAAATAAAAAGATATCTAAAGATAAAGATATCAATGTCGAAGATGAAGATGTGTCAAAAGATATTATGGATATTGTACAAGATATAAATAGTGACGAGTGGGATTAAAAAGATTGCTGCGCATGAACTTGGACAAGACCTATATCTCTTGATAAGATTTTACTAGACTTATTTACATGATCTAGGACATTTAATATTCATCATAATATTAATTTTAATGATTCAAAGTATCTGGTATCATCTCTCGTGGATAGCTAGAGTAAATTGTACTGAATTAAAAAGTCCTTTTTGCGAGTTTCGCGATAATTAAAAAATTATTAATTTACGGATTATTAATTTTATGGATTCGCAAATAAGTGAGTATTTACGCGAAGAAACAGCTCAGTGCTATGCAACATTTATGATTGCTAAATGTGTGGCAAAATGTTGATCTTGTGATCTACAAATGACAAAGTATTTGTTTATAGTTATAGCATGCCTCCAATGTTGCCGCGCGTCTAGTAATCAAATGTAAGGGAGGATGGTGGACTGTCTTTTTGTACAAAAACTCATTCGCGGATATGTATCAATTACTCTTTAATTATTGCGACAATCATAAAATGATGTAAGACTTCTATTTGATATAATCTACTTTATTTATTTTTTTTTGTGATTTCCCCGGGTGAGGAGTAAGGCTGTTTGTACACGGGATGCGGCAACACGGTAGCCAATCACCGTCTTGTTTTCTCGTTACCAGAAAAGACGGTGATTGGCTATTGCATTGCGCGGTGCAACCAGTCTAATTAAGTGCCGTCAATCTCCTTAGGATTATTCAGCACAAGTCTCTTTCTTCCTTGTTTGGTTCTCTTCTGTTTATATTACTCTTCCGATTTCAGGTTTCACTTTCTCTTTAGTCTTAATAAATGCATGACGTAATACAAAATTAAAAAATTAAAAATTAAAAAATTATGTAGGGATAAAAGACGTCCTATCTATTCAACGGCCCGAAAAGAACTTAAATCTACTTTATTTGTCCACGAGAGATTATTATTGGACACCTTGTACACATACATACACACACACATACATATCATACACACCACACGTACACATACATCATATATGTATTATATATTATCACATATATGTACATACATAAAGTAGTACATTTTGTGCATATTTGGAATGTAGCACAATAAAATTTGTCATTATTTTAATATTAACATAATTACTGAATTAATAATTTACCTATTTAATATACCTACTTAATAAAATAATTACATAAATATTGAAATAATTTAAATATTAATATTAAATATGTTCAATACTGTATAAAAATAAAGTAACATTAACGATTAGAATAGTATTATTAATTGTAAAAATCTTGCAAAGAAGAAGGTATGCATGTATCAAATACATAAAACATTTAGAAACATGCAGTATTTAAAAAATTAGTTTTAAATATTTATGAAATCAAATATTAAAAGAAAAAATCTAGTACTATTAACAAATTTAACTTTTAAAAATGCTTTTAGAAATATATGTTGGATATTAGATGTTGAAACAAATAAAATTGTCACATTTTATAAAATAAATTTTCTATTTTTTTAAATTAGATAACTTTATACTACTTAAATAATAATAATATAAAAGATATTTATTAATATAAAAGAAACTTAACGATAAAGTAATGTTAGTGTCGGTCCACAATAGATGATTTAAGCTTTAAGAGTGCAGTCTCATAGAGCGTATCGCGCGTATCGAAAATCTGACCAATCGCGAACTTTACAATAATGGATTCGGCGGAACGGCTGAGTATCGAAAATAGCAGAACGTCCGCAATTGGTCAAATTTTCGCGATACGCGCGATACGACAGCGCGATAGAACAGCACTCTAAGAAGTAAAAAATTGACCAATTATAATCGAATATGAAAAGAATAATCGACCATGTTTGGTCAATTTTTTACGATTTAAAGATTAAATACTTATTGTGGACCGACACTTACGTACAAAAAAATGAAAAAATTTTAAGCACTCGATGCGCATGCGTCAAAAACACGGTTACCATCTCCGGTTTTCAGGTGAAAGTTCCGACTTTTTGAATGAATTTCTGGCAAACAGAAAGAATCTTCGATTATAGTTAATCTAATATAAACTTTGTTGATCTTTTTTCTTTCGAATGTATTATACATGTTTCGAATTTTTTATAAACGATTTAAACTTAATTATTATAGATGTAATGCAATTATTATAGATGTAACGCTAAATTTCACACAAATTTGCGTTTTATATGCCGAAGTACAACTACTACTTTATAGGTTAAGATAAGAGTCAAGTGTTGACACTCATAAAGAATGAAAAAGATATATTAAAGATTAACAATATTTGATGCAGCTATAGTGCAATTTGTTTGTTGCTTATATTTTTCGCTGGTACATTAAATAAAAAATATACAAAAATGACGTCTATTATAAAACTTCACGCGATCTCCGGAGCGATGAACGAATCTCCACCTTGTTACATATTACAAGTGGACGAACTGAGAATATTGTTGGATTGTGGATGGGATGAAAATTTTGATCAGGACTTCATAAAAGAATTGAAGAGGTACAATTAAATGACTGTTATCTCATAGTAGTATATTTTATGAATCTATATATTTATCTTTCTGTTTTGTTATGTTCAGACATGTGAATCAGATAGACGCAGTTTTACTTTCGTATCCAGATCCATTGCATTTAGGTGCATTGCCATATCTAGTAGGTAAATGTGGCTTGAATTGTCCCATATATGCTACTATTCCTGTATATAAAATGGGTCAAATGTTCATGTATGATATATATCAGGTATATTTAATATGCCAAAATAACATAATAATAATATTAATTAGAATTTATATTCTAAGATATATCATATTGATTTCAGTCTCGTCACAACATGGAAAACTTTGACTTATTTACTTTAGACGATGTTGATGCTGCATTTGATAAAATTGTACAGCTGAAATATAACCAAAGCATATCGATGAAAGGCAAAGGTTATGGTGTTACATTGACGCCTTTACCAGCAGGACATATGATTGGTGGGACAATTTGGAAGATTGTGAAAGTTGGGGAAGAGGATATAATATATGCTGTGGACTTTAATCACAAGAAGGAACGTCATTTAAATGGTTGTGAATTAGAGAGATTGCAACGGCCATCGTTATTGATAACAGATGCGTTTAATGCTACATATCAACAAGCTAGACGAAGAACAAGAGATGAAAAATTGATGAGTAAGTATTCTCTATTAAAATGTCATTAAAAAATTAAAATTGATAAAAAAACATTGTTATTAATTTATTTACTAATAATTTAATTTTAATTTTTCTGTTTTTGTTGTTTAGCTAATATCTTGCAAACATTGCGAGGTGGTGGTAATGTATTGGTTAGTGTGGACACGGCTGGCCGTGTACTGGAGTTAGCACATATGTTGGATCAGTTGTGGCGCAATAAAGAATCAGGATTACTTGCCTATTCATTAGCACTTCTTAATAATGTGAGCTATAACGTTGTAGAATTTGCAAAATCACAAATTGAATGGATGAGTGATAAATTAATGAGAAGCTTTGAAGGTGCACGTAACAATCCATTTCAATTTAAACATTTACAACTATGTCACAGTATGGCAGAATTAAATCAAGTTCCAAGTCCAAAGGTAAATAAAAATTAAAATTTTTATAATTCTTAGATAATTTGATTTGAAAATTAATCTGACATTGTTGTGTTTAGGTAGTACTTGCAAGTACTCCCGATATGGAATGTGGATTTTCCCGTGAATTATTTCTTCAATGGTGTACTAATCCACAAAACAGTATTATATTAACAAGCAGGACATCTCCAGGTACACTTGCTAGAGATTTGGTAGAAAAAGGAGGTAATCGAAATATTACACTAGAGGTAAAGAGACGAGTGAAACTCGAAGGTATTGAATTAGAAGAATATCAAAAACGAGAAAAACTAAAGCAGGAACAAATGAAACAAGAACAAATGTAATTATTTATTTATTTATAAATGCACATTTACATTAATATTTACAAATATAAATATTCATTTCTTTTTCATGACCATAATTTATGTTTTACTAATTAATTTTATTAACTATATTTCTAATGTATTAGGGAAACCGCGGATGTGAGCTCTGAATCGGAAGATGAAATAGAAGTTGGTGGTGGCAGAGGAAAGCATGATTTGCTAGTGAAGCAAGAAAGTAAGCCCGGCTTTTTTAAACAAAGTAAAAAACAACATCCTATGTTTCCATTCGTCGAGGAAAAAATCAAGATAGACGAATATGGAGAAATCATAAAGTAAGAATATTTTTATCTTTATTTAATAATTATATTTATATATTTAATCAAGAAAAATGTATCTGATAAGCATCTAATTCGTTCAAAATGTTAAAGAAATGTTAAGATTCTAAGAAAATACGATTTGTATTTATTTTTATCTTGATAATAATTAACAAATTGTGTAGTTTGTTTATTTGTTAATTTTTATGAATAAATATATAATTATGTGTTTAAAATTATATTTAATTATGTATTTTTATAAATAAACATATGTTTAATTATATATTTTAGATTATTTTTTATTTTTTGTTTATTACTGCAGACCAGAAGATTATAAAATAGCAGAGACTGTACCTGAAATAGAAGATAATAAAGAGAATGTAGAAATGAAACAGGAGGAAACTAGTCATCATCCAGAAATAGCTGTAGATATTCCAACGAAATGCGTACAAGTTTCGCGTACAATGACCGTCAATGCATCAGTAACATACATAGATTTTGAAGGTAGATCTGACGGCGAATCTCTACAAAAGATTTTGGCACAGCTAAGGCCGAGAAGAGTTGTCTTGGTCAGGGGTTCACCTAAAGACACAGAGATATTAGCGCAACAGGCACAAAGCACTGGTGCAAGAGTATTTGTTCCGGGTAGAGGAGAGACACTAGATGCCACGACAGAAACACATATTTATCAAGTAATGTAGTTATTATTTTTTTATTGAATATTAAATTTTTTTATCGAGTATTAAACAACATGATTGTATTAATTTTTTTTCAGTTCTTCTATTTCAAACTGATTAAGAAATTGATATGCCTTATATAGGATGTACTTTTTTTTTATTGTTAGGTACGTTTGACTGATGCTCTAGTGAGTGGATTAAATTTCTCGAAGGGTAAGGGGGATTCTGAAGTAGCGTGGATAGACGCGATGATAACGGCACGTGATCAAATTTGTCGAGACGCAATCGCCGATACTGAATCCGAGAATGCGATTGATGAAAGTGACAAAATATTGACTTTGGAACCTTTACCATTAAATGATGTAAGATATAGGTTATAAATAAAAATAATAAGAGAGGATGCAGATTCAATTTATATATTCTTCTTCCGCAGGTTCCTGGTCATCAAACGACGTTCATAAATGAATTGAAATTATCTGACTTCAAACAAGTTTTGAATAAAAGTAACATTCCATCAGAATTTAGCGGAGGAGTTCTATGGTGTTGTAATAATACTATTGCTGTTAGAAGGGTTTGTTTTTTTTATAACATACGTAAATCATTAAAAAATATTATGCTTTGCGTATACATTTTGTACTTTTTTTTACTTTTTGTTATAAATACATAAATATCTATTTTCATTCAAAATTGTAGATAAATAACTATTGCTATCTATTTTAGCACGAAGCTGGGAAGGTGATATTAGAAGGCTGCATTTCTGAGGATTACTACAAAGTGCGAGAATTATTGTATGAACAATATGCGATTGTATAGATTTGCATAGATTGTGCATTATGTATACATACATGTAAGGAGACTCTATTTTATAATACATAATAATTATATATTAAGATTTTCATACCTTTTTCAATTTATATATATTATATTTTTTCGATCGTATTTTTTGTTATAAAAAGAAATTTGGTAACGATATTAGAATTACTGATTAAATTGCAGGGGCCCTACTCTGTACGTATACGCTTACCGACAACTGTCGGTGTCATTAAGAGTCGGCAGGAGTGATCAAGTCGGAGTTAGTCCGGACTAACTCCGACTTGATCTAAAATGATTATCTATTCCTTATTTGCAGTGCAGATATATATCTGTACTCAATTATATTTTATTTTATAGAAACGATGTTTCGTCATGAAACTTTGTTAAGATAATTTCTTTTACAATTACGAAGCTACCTAGAGCCAATTTTACAATTTAGCTCTTAAATAAATAAATAATTAAAATAAATTTAAATAAATAATTAGAATAAATGTAACTATCTACTCCAGTGTTCGGAATTAGTTGGCCTTTTCGGCTCGATTTCGATGTGGAAACCTTGTTAAAACTTTAATTATTCTAATTATTATGTAATAATTTTATTATAAACGTATTTATTATCATTAAGTATCATAAAACACATAAAATATATTAAAAAGAGAATTTAAGGTTTGTAAAAATAAAAATAATTTAATAAAAATAGACTAACTGTACCTGACCCACGAGGAACTACAGGATCTGCACGTCACTTAAAATTTTATTTTGATCTTTTTTTCAAAAAGTGACTCTGTCGCGATCTGCTAATGATTCTACTGATTACGAATATTACGAGTTTTTTATGATTCTCTTTGTATTTTAGCCATAATAATGTATTAGCAAATCCATAATTCACAGCTGGCCGCGAGAGGTCTCCACGCTATCTCCGGCCGTCCCTTAATATACAGGGAACGCACCCCGTTATATAGTTTATGTGACGTATATTATATAAAATGTATGCACATGCGCTTTATGAAATTTGACTTCTATGCACTTTCGGGATCCCAAAAATTTCCTATCCGACAGCCAATCAGCAAGTCTAAAAACTTATATGCGAAATATTAATCTCAAAATGTATCAGTGTATATCAAATACAATTCATTGATGCGTGTGTATGTACATCCGCATTTTTTAATATTGTGTATTATAATTGAATAAATTATTAGAAAATAAATTATAAGTCATCAAAAGTATCATAGTAGCCTTCAAAGATTGAAAAATTTTGGCCTCGAATATAACGAACGATTGGTTATGAGGTGGCAGAACGTTTTTAGTTAAAATGATGAGATGCAAATAAAAAGTAACAGAACATTTATAATTATGTGCATGTAGCAAGTATTACAAATATATTACTAAATTACATAAATTACATAATATTGATTTTCTTTTAGAATGGTCTTTGGATATGATTTCATGAGGATTATGAAGTGCAGTATTATATATGAAAAATTTATCTTAGTTTTTATAAACATTATATGAGATTGAGATAATCATTAACAACATGAGAAAGTATTATCAAGCTGCTTTAGCTGTTATAGCAGTAGTAAGCCTCATATCTTTGCTCATCTATAGACATGAATATAACAAACTGAGATATGTCTTAGAAGTTTTCAATTACTTTGGTAAACCTGGGCCAAGAAGAGCAGATACAAATTGTATGAATTTTAGTACAACTTTTACTACGTTCAATGCAAAATTTGATGAACCAATTTCTTCTTGGCAACGTTTGGAGGATGATTTATATGTATATTCTGCATATGGTATTAACGAGAAAGAGATACGAGCAGTTGGACTTGGAACTATAAATAGTGTTTCAAATATGCAATGTCTTGTCTTTTTTGAAAGTGAAAGTAAACCTATATTGGGAAGCTTCAAGTTTATTCCCATTGGCGATGCAGTTACTTCGAGTCTAGGAGAGAATTCTAGATTTGGAGGATACCATTTTGTTTGTACGTACACCAGCAATGAGACTCCCACTGGGATTACGTTTGTTACAAAGTCTAACAAATACCTCAATTATGCACCTATTCTTCCTATAAAAATGCAACCACGAAGCTTGAGCGACAGTAGGTTAGGCGTATGTGTAACACAATCGTCGATGAAGCCAACAAAGTCAATAGATATGATAGGCTTTATCAGCTTCCACGCATTAATTGGAATGGACAATTTCATTATATATGATTCTGGAATTTCCAATGAATTTAACAGTAAACTAAAAGAAATGATGAATGATCCAACTTCTTTTTGGAAATTTACATATACTGTTGTACCATGGAACTTCCCTTTCACAGAAATCAATCAAAACGTTATAAGAGAAATCGCCGAGATCGATTGTTTATATCGTACTTATAATAATGTCGCCTATGCTATTACTCTTTCATGGAACGAGTATGTAAGTTTGAAGTACCATCATGCAACAATTGATTTATTGGCAGATTTTAAACAAACCAAGCTGACAGCTGATCGCTACAAGCTAAAAACTATAACTTTTTGCACACAGCAAGCTGACAATAAACAGTATGCCAATTCTACACTGACGTTCTTAAAGAAAACGAAAACCGATATAAGCATTCTAGAAGATCGTTTTATCTATATACATAAGCCCCATGTAACATTACAGGATACTCATGTCTATGTCAAAGAAATAGGAAAAAATTTAGTTGCTGTAAATCAATATAAATATTGTGATAATTATAAAGAGAGCCAAGAAATAGAAGATCTTACAATTCTCAGATTTGCCCAAGATATACAGAATTCATCAATTCTTAGAAAATATCTTGGACTTTACAATCTACTTGATATAGACATAAAGTGATATCAAGGTTTTGCGCAACTAATGTTAAATTAATATTTGCACAAGCTTGGATAATGCTCTACTTGCATATATACTATTTAATTCATACATATAAATATTTCATAATTATGCCGTCTTTCATACTAGGTGCCTTAATCATCACGTCATAGTTATACAACTAGTCATGATATGATTAGCTATTTTAATATTTTGTATACTATTTCAAACTTTAAACTTAAGCTACAATAAAGCATTCTTTGTTACTTTAAACTATTCCACATTTATATATTTTTTATGCTACGATATATAGTAATAGAATATGTTGAATATCATTGAACTTAAAACCGATATGAGGCAATCGCAAATAGCAATAGGAAATAGGTAATATACGATAAAAGAAAAAACATAGTAGGTATTACGTTCCTAATAAAAATACATAGAAATTTTATTTTCAAGCGATTTAACATATATTTGGTGTCTAATCGTTACATCATTCAATCTAGGAATTTAGAAAAAGTTTACTTCAGTCGTTGCATTATAGCCGAATTTTGTAAACCAGCTTCTTCAATCGTTTTATCTTCTGTAAGTTCCTTTGTTGGATATACAGTTAATAAACTGAAATCCCTTAGAGCGTACTGAGGTCTCATACTGACATTATATGTTAAAGAAAACTTTTCTCGCAATATCCCTGAATCAACTTAGAAAAAAAAAATTATATATATATATATATATATATATATATATATTTGTCTTATATATATATATATATATTTGTGTATATATTTGTGTATATAATTGTGCTTTATATATATATATATATATATAAAGCACAATTTAAAATATTTTGAGATCAAAAGGATACGTTATTATATATCGTCTAAGATCAGCGACCGTATGCGACAGATTGAATTGGGCCTTTACAGTACTACCGTCTGCAAGACGGATTTGTAACGTCGTGGCTGGCTTTGAATTATCTAAATCCAATTCCTTTTTTGCTTGCGCTTCATTGGCAGCTTGATCGGCAGGATCTGTTGGAACTGTCATGCCCACAGTAGCGGGAGATGGACTGAAATGTTACAGAAATGAAATTTAGGAAATCAGATCCGAGATCAATTTTAGAATTAGATCTTTAATAACAGAGTGAAATGAATCTGAACATACCTTCCTAACATGTGCCCTTTTCCAGAGAAGGCTTTCACCTTGGTTTTTGATGGGACATAGGTCTCATGACGATGATCCTCCATATCGAGTCGTACTTCCGCACCTTGTACCTGTTGACGAATCTCTGCTGGGATTTCACCTCGTTTAATGGCCTCTAGAAAGTCTCTGTTCTCGACATCGTCATACGATCGTATCTCATTGTCGTTTATTGTAAATCCATCCTTCCACAATTTCAATATAATAAGACCATTCGAAGATTGTTGATCTGCGTTTGCTCCCATCACAACTATCATGCAGTTACATGCAGAATGTAATAAACATTATTTATCAACTTTAATCTCTTGCAAACAATACAAATACTTCAAAATACCTTCGCTGTCTGAGCTAGTTTGACCTAATTTATATCCCGTGCCTCTGAACGTGTTTGGCCTTTGCTGGCCTCCTATCTTCGGGGGATCTGCAGCGATAGATTGCTCCTGACATGACTTAAACATGTCGCTGATAATATCTTTTTTTTCTTTCCCGGTCCCAGAACTTGCTGTCCGCTGTGCTCAGAACCACCAGCGTAAAATGCTTGTCCCTCTTCCTCCTCGGAACTGCTATCACTATTGTGAAGGTCGTTCAACGTTCCGAATTTGGGTTTCGGCTTGGCACCCTTCGACTCCGTCGAGTCAGATTTCGTTTGCTTGTTCGACATCGCGCCCGTGCTGTCTTCCGAACTTCGTTCCGTTTCTTGTGTATCGTTGACAGTTCCGGCCACTAGTTCGACTGGCTCGTCATTCTCGTAGAAACTGGTGAGAGCGACCTATGGAGAAAGAAATACAATACGCGTGCGATAAGATTGCGTCGAAGTTTTACGACCGGTCGAGCTTCCGATCTCGTCGGTGAAGACGAGGTTTTGTATTTATTCCGCGAGTCTTGCGGGGGAGGGGGGGAGGGGCTAAGGCGTGAGAGCCAAGGCGAAAACAACGGTGCAACGTCAAAATATGACAAGCGAAACGTTGAAGGAAGGCGACCGTCGGGCCGCCACCCGAGAACGAGAAAAGGCCTTACGACGGACGTGACACAACAGGTTAGTAGAACTGGTGCCGAGATTATCGCGACGAGGACGCCCGTGCGTTACGCGACGCGCGTACAACCTCGCTTCCCGGAGCGCTTCGTAAGATGTGCTGTCTCACCTCGAGCTGCCAAGCGGATGACTCAAGGTAAAATAGCGCTCTCTCGGCCTCAACACCAGTTACGTCCGCGAATTGCGAGACCAACTCGTCGCGGCTCGCCATTCTCTGCGAATGTTAAAAAACTCACGAGGTGTCTGTTCACTGCGCTCTCTATCTCTCTCTCTCTCTCTCTCTCTTTGTCTTTATTTTCTTTTCTCTATTCCTCGCGACTCCGCCACGCGACCACAACAAGTCCACTCTCTGCGACCGAGTCTCCGAAATCAAAATACCTCTACTACACGTCAGTTCTCTCGATCTGTCCTCCTGTCACATACACATTCTGTTCTGTCATTCCCCTCGGAATCCCGCGGAATTGAACCGGATGCGGATATTCTGGAGGAAGCTCGTTCGAATAATCGTATGAAGTGATGCTCCCGCGCGCGTGCCTGGAAACACGTGTTATAAATAATATTTATAATATATAAACAATTGAATAATATTTTCAAATATGTTTTCTTATGTTCACTGATTTTATATACTATTTTTATATTTTCAACCTCAGTGGAAAACCTGAGTGGAAATGTTCTGCTAAAACTTTTGTATCAGATTAGAGATTAAGATTGAGATTAGACTGGAATTTCCAATCTGAATAAAAGATTGGTCAATCACTAAACTTCAGATTGGTGTTCTTTTTTCCGGTTTGATTAAATTCCAATCTAACCTCAAGTTCAATCTCTAGTCTGACACAGGCATTACGGTGATTTAAATCAATAAATGTACAATACAGGATGTTCCAAAATTCGTGCGTACGTAGTACAGTACGTGATACTTTAGGCTAAAAGAAACAATTTTTTCCTTTAGCAAAATTGCGTGCGACATGTAGTTATTGCAAGAGAGTCGATTAAAGTTGACAAATAAACGCTCTTAGCTATGTGGCGCTCAGGGCAGGCTCCTCGCTTCTTTGTACCTAATTGTCGGTAGTATTTATAAGTAATATCTAATCTTTATAAGTAATATCGTTAGAAACTTTTAACATTACTTTAAATTATTGAGGGTCGGCAGGAGAGATTATGGAGACCTCTCTATCGGAGATGAATTCCTTTTCGCCCCATATTACGGCCAAAATACTGCGAGAAAAGCTATATAATTATGATATTTATATCAGATTATATTTAAATCAGAATATTTGCCTGACGGAAGCTACAGAGCGATTTTTGTAAGAAAATGTTTGTGTGAAAATAAATAATTCATTTATGCATAAATAGATTTGCATTATAGGACAATAAGGTGCAAATATTTTCATCTATTGTAAATTTTTTTTAAAGAGCCAAATTGCAAAATTCGGCTCTGTAACAAGAATCATAATTTTATAAAAAATACGTAGAAAAAAGCTCATGGTAGAATATTGCTTCTACGAGATGATATATGGGTATACGCAAATATATCTGCACTGTAAATAAGAAGTAGATAATCATTTTAGATCAAATTGGAGTTAGCCCGTCACTCCTGCCGACTCTTAATTTTGTTATAAATCATTCTTATGCATAATTAATTTCGTAATGATTATTAACAATATATATTTTGATACATATAAAAATTTCTATACGTATATTTAAATGTATATATATATATATATATATATATATATATATATAAAATAAACGTCAAATATTACTAACGAAATTTTTACATTAGTCTTATCTTTGACTAGTTGACTAGTCTCTTATTTTTCGAAACTGATTATCGTACTTTACGAAAGAACTACAAATAATTATGTGGGAAAGGCATGAATATTGATAATTAATTCAAAATTACAAATTATAAATAGCATTCAATAATATTTGAAATTCTATGAATACAATAAACAAAATAGTGATAAATTTGAATACCTGGGCTATCCTCAGATATTCTTTGTACATAGTTAATTTAAATAATTATTTATTGTTTATTTATATTGGCTTCCATTTTTAAATAAATTTAACTTAAGCATATTTATTTATTTATATATCGGTAACGTTTTATTATATATTTTAAGAAACATTTTAGGGACTGTTTTGGGCAATAATTAGAAATATTTCGTTACACTTTTTTAAAAATAAACATAAATATGTATCAACATTTATTGGTTTTTGAAATTACATAAAGTTTTGATTATTAATAAATTTCTGAAATTACTTTTTTCTCTAAATTATGAATGCATGTTTGTCCCAAATATTTTAATAATAAGGTTTCAATCACAACATTCACAAATTGATAGAATTATTTTTTTAATTAGTCATTTTAACATACTTTATTATAAAAAGTTTCTAATTACTCTGTACAATTTATCACTAAAAAATATTTCTGAGTATTATTTCTGAGTATTATAATCTCTAACTTGTAAAATAAGTTAATATTTAATAAGTTAGTATTCTAAATAAGTTAATATTGTCTTTCTATATAATAATAGCAATTATTCATTTGCGTTATAATTATTGTCAGTTTTATTCTGATACCAACTACGAAAGAAACGATGAAAAATACAGTACATGAAATACATAACTGACTCGGCAAAAGAAATATCTACATTTGTCGACTATGTATCGTACAAAAACATAAATTCGGCAGTAAAAATAAAATAATAAATTCAATAAGTCAATTTAATTACACTGAAATATTCAGTTGTCTTACCGTATTATCATATATATATAAAGGTTACCAGATATGTGTTATATTTATACTTTGTATCACTTATTACAATGTTTATTATAAGTATGTTTGGTAGAACGGTCGTTACTTTGTAAAGAACTGTCGAAGCAGAAACATCGTGATTCCGAGAATACACTAATTTTTAAATCACTTATAACGGTAAATATAACTTGAACAAATTATTATAAAATATTTTAAATATCTTAGCCTACACAGTTTCAATAGTACAAATTTAATCACTAGAAATAATACTTGCATGTATTTCAATATATGAACATAATTCTTTAAATATGTAGAAGTATATTTAAAACGCAAGAGTCAGTTTACAATAATAACTCATTTGAAATTATTAAACGTTAAAGGTGTTTCTTTATTAATTTCAATAGTATTTTCTAACGAATTGTTGAAGCAGAAAGATCGTGGATTCAGAGAACAACATATCATATTGTACATACATCTATTTTCAATCACTTATAATTGTAAGTACAACTTGAATTGTTATAAAACATTTTAAATATCTAATAGCTCACATAGTTTTAATGTGTAAATTTAACCACTAGAAGCAATGTTTATATATGTATATTTTAATATATAAATATATTTTTTTAAATATGTAGAAGTACACAAGTAAAACACACGTAAACTTAAAATGTAAGAATAGTTTAGAAACAAAATAATTTTTTTGAAATTATCATTAAAAAGTTTTTCATGATAAGAAGTTATATTTCCATTAGATGTTGTGTGACAATATAATTTAACATATAATATTACATATACAACAATAATGAAATAATATATGCTCACAGAACTAATAAAAGATTCTATTTCTTTTGTTGTGATTGTAAATCTATCAATAAAGAGAATCTATAATTAGGATTCTTTCGTTTTTTTTTTTCAAGAAGTCAAATTTCGATGATATAATTTTATTTCATACTTCTATTTCTTAAAAAAAAAAAATATACTTCTTTAAATAAAAACATTTGTTTAGATGAATATCACGGAATTAATAAAATTATTATTATATGGAAGTCTAATATTTAATTATGTTACGGCTATTTATGCTCATAAAGAAAAAATATTTGACAAAATAAGTAACGAGCAAATAAACAGACCACAAACAATCAGAACTAAAAGATCAGAAATAACGGAAACCACTGAGGAAGTCATAATCAAAGCTGCAGTCGGCAATTTTCGTTTGCCTGATTTTATAATACCAAAACGATACAGCATTAAACTAGCATTAGATATAGAAAATGATATCTTTTATGGAGAATGTGATATTAGCATTATGATTCTTAATACTGCACAAAACATAACCTTGCATTCAGCGAACTTGGAAATAACTCAAATTATGTTAACAGAAATTAATGCTAAACATGAAATAATGTATAAAACATGTAATACTTCATATATTCACGAACTGCAAATTATTGTCTTGGATTTCCTTCATGACTTACGTCCTAATAATTATACTCTGAGCATAATGTATAAAAGTTACATCACGAATGATGTCGGAGGTTTTGTCAAGATCCCATATATAAATGGAACAGGAGAAATAAAGTGAGTGGAAAAACATATATGTTATATTACTATATATAAACATTATATAATAATAATTAAATTATTATATAATAATAACTAATATAATAACTAAAATATGTCTATTATTCATATCCATGTTTAATATTCAAAATTATTAACTCACAAGTAATACATAAAGCAAATTTGTATGAACATACATATACTTTATAATTAAAAAATTAAAAAGAATCTATCAACTACTGCAAATTAATAATTTACAATGATTTATGTGGGATAATAATGAAAATTCGTTAAATGTATGAAAAGTAGTATTATAATATTCATGGAGTTTTGAAAGAGATTGTTTTAATTTTATTACCAAATGTGTACTTAAAGTAAACATTCAGCAAAAAGTTATGACAACAATAATATATAAAGTGATATTTTCCTTTCCTTAAAGATGTTTTGTTAAATAAATTTATTATAAGTATTGTATATATTTGTAAAATAGAATTCTTAATGCTAATCCCTTAACATTTATTTATGATCTATACATGCATTAATAAAATAATAGATATATATATGCAGTTAATAAAATAAATATTGAATTGTAAAAAAAATAATAGAAAGAAAGGGCATGTATAATAAATATAGAAGTAAAAAAAATGTTTCTATTAAAATTTATTCGATCTCTCCTAAGTTTCTATAATAATACCCAATGTTATTAAAGAATAAAAAAATATCTTATTACATAATTAATTAAATATGTTAGGTGGCTTATCACAACAAGTAACTCAGTGACGGGAATGCGACATCTCTTTCCATGTTGGGACGAACCGGGACTAAAAGCTAACTTTATCATTGCTATAAGGCATCCTGAACATTACAATGTTTTTTCAAATACACATTCTTTTTATACATCTTTTATATCAGAACAAATGACGACACGTTTTGCTACAATTCCTGAAATACCTACGTATCGTATAGCAATTTTGCTATTTGATAAGAATGATTATATTCATATTTCTCCCATACAAAACCTCAAATTATGGAGAAGAGAATGGCTGGACGTGCAATGGGATGAAATTTTTAAATTAATTGAAGTTGTCACAAGTACTGTTGAATATATGTGGCAACTACCAGAAGAATATTTATTAAGAAATCATTATGCGATCGCAGGTTTGAGAGATGACGGCGTGGACAAATTGCAGTTCATACTTTACAGGTAGTATATACATTCAAAAAAATTAATTTCTATATTTTTGTAGTAAAACAGCTATAGAATAGAAAAACGTTGTAAATATTATGTATAGTAAATAATATCATTAGAAATAAAAGATGATATATGGTGAATATTTGTGATATGTATATATCGATATCGTTTGTATATTGGTTTCAGAGAAGAAGATATTATTTACAATAAAGAGATAGATCCCATTGCACACAAAATAGAATTATTACGTATAATAGGACGTAAAGTGGTTGGTCAACTGTTTGGCACTGCAGTTAGTTCGTCATGGTGGTCTTACATGTGGTTGAACGAGGGTATTGCTAGGTTGTTTGGCGTGTATACAATCAATAAGGTATTTTCTTATATCTGTGATAATACTTTGACAGAAAATTGATCAGTTCTATTTAAAACGATACGAAAAAAGGAAAAATATTCTTCGAATACTTTCGATGATATTTAAGTTAACTGTAAAAAATTTTGCATACATGTGAAATCGATTATAAGATTTTCAATTAATTTAATTATGTTGTTATTTTACATTAATCTAAGGATAATAAATCTAATTATAATTAATAACTAATTAAAGTATTATAATAAAATTAATAATATTGTTTATTTCTTACTTCTAATATCTAGATTATGCCAGACATTCGGATGTTGGATTTGTTTGTAGTTCAAACTCAACAAGAATCACTCCGTCTAGATGATTCACAAATTATGAAACCTCTTGATTCAGAAGTTAACAGTATTTCTGAAATTAATTCTCTCTTCTCCTTTACCTATTACATAAAAGGTATACAACACTTAATAAATAAATACTTCTTTTATTATTTCATTAAATAATTAAAACATGTAAAATTATTTAAGAACTTTCCAAAAATAAATTTTTACTTTAATTTACATATTTTTTAATTTACCAGAACAAGTAAAAATATATTTAGAAATACAAACACATTCTAAAAACAACGAAACTTTTAATTAATTATTTCTTTTTTCTTAATTTTTATTAATATTTCTGAAGGCTTCGATAAATTTACTATAGATATATTCACTTGTATATTTAATTTTATAACGTTCATCTGTTACAGCACCTTCTATATTGCGTATGCTACATTATACAGTAGGTGATGAAATTTTTCAGAAAGGCATTTATGCGTATTTGCGAAGACGGTGAGTATATTTCATATTTTGTATCTTTCTTTTGGTTCCTCTCTTTTCCTTTTTATCAAATATCGAATAATCTTTCATTTTCATTTCTTCGTTCGCAATAATATTATATATAAATAATAATTTATTGTATTTTTTACTATTTTTTGCTATATAAATACTGCTATATAAATATGTTATTACACATAAAATTATTTTCTCTTAAATACTTTTTTATTTCTTAAAGCGGTGTCTACAATGAGACTTTAAGACGTAAGACTTAAGAAATTGGCCAACCACAATCGATTATTCTTCTATAAATTGATTATGATTGGCCAATTTCTTAAGTTTTACGTCTTAAAGTCTTATTGTAGGCACTGCTTAAAGTAAGAAAAAGATATTCTAAACGATATTCGTTATATAAAGAGAGGATTTTACATTAAAAAATTTGATATTTGGAATCAATGCCTATTCGTAATCGGCAATAAAATTTAACATAATTATTGTTTAAATATACACATTATTATAAATAATTCATTATTATAAATAATTCATTCATTATTATAAATAATTATAATATTCTACTACTTTATTCCATTTCTAATTATAAATTGTCTGTGTAGAATCAGAAAGAAATTTCTAACGATTGAACAGTTCAATCGTTAACAAGATTTAGCATGTAGCTTTCTTTTTGTTTCTGATAAAGGATTCGTTTCCGAAAAAACCTTAAAATTATAATAGAAATACATACTTATCGTGTTTATGTTTAAAAACTTGATATCGCTTTTTATTTCTTTTTGTGAATAAGTTGAATTATTTAATTTAGATTTATTGTAATGTGAGAAATTAGCGAATAAAATTTTTGTTACATTCTTTGTTGTAATATGGTTATCAGTGTACTCTATTTTTTTAAAGTTTAAGACATAATATCATATATTGTTTTATGTCAGACATTTATCATTAATATATTTTTTGAATTTTATTGTTTGTTATTCTTAATAGTGATTGTCTATATATTTTTTAGTTTAATCTCTCCAAGAATTTGTAATTTCAATAATTCTTCATTAGATCTTTTAAAAATAAACTATATGCAGGATTTGATAATTATAAATTTGATGAATTTGATAGATTCGCTTTACAGACTGTGTACAGAAAAACTTTATTTATAGAATAATTTATTTTCTTTTAAAATTGCATGATCTAATACAAAGTATTAAATGACATTTAAATAAATATTATGTTAATAAATATTATATAATATTATTTATATCTTGTTTTATATTTTATTTTTAGCGAAATGAAAACAAACTGAAAATACACTATAACGTAGAATATTTAATATTAAATAACATTTCCTTCATTAGTACTATAGTTTATTTCTTAAAAGTCCATGTATTACATTTTGACATGTAGAATAGTATTGCTTTTTTTCAATTTAATTATTTAGTATGTTTTATGCTCTATAGGCATTTATCAGCATATATCAGCATTTATCAATATATCATGAAGATATAGTTGTTGAAAAGTAAAGACTATATTTATACATCTATAACCACCATTTTTAAGAAAACTTTGTATTAAAAACAGAAAATTGTTGAAAATTGATATTGACAGCGTCTTCTATTAAAATATATACATTTCGATATTACAATATTTTCGTTTATATAAGAATAATGATAAAAATTGAAAATATTTATTATAAAATTTATTTATCTATAATCTATTATCCCAAATTTATCTATCTATTATCCCAATTAAAATTCAATTCGATGTAATTATTACTAAGATTTGGTAATACAACGTATATCAGCGTTTCGTGCAAATAAAATCATGGGCATCTGTCCCACAAAAAATGAAAGCAAATGATGCGTGTCTTTTGATAGTCATAAAAATTGTGTAAATTAGTGTTTATGCTATATATTAAAAAAAATATAATCATATTTGTCCATTGACATGGTCTCTATCATGGTCTCTATCAGAATATACATTGTTAATACAATTAATTTTTATATATTTTTGTAAGGACGGGAAGTCTGGACGATTTTTGGACTGCAATGCAATCTGCCTATGATTCACAAACTATGGATTTGAAGAAAATTAATGTGAAAGATCTGATGAATCCTTGGATACAAGAAAAACAATATCCCATTCTTAATGTAACAGAAACATTTGATACCGAATGGGTGAAAATTATTCTAGAAATTGCCTCCAAAAAATGGACAGTACCACTGACAAATCAAGTGTATATGAATTTAAAACGAATTTTACCCACGTTTTGTCTTACTCGAGAACAAACGCATTTTCTTGTAAAATGTAACAATCCTGAATATAATCAATTCATAATAATAAATCAGCAACAAATAGGTAAATAATGATCAAACATTTTAATATTGAATATTATTAATTTATTCATTTTGTATAATAAAGACTTTTTAACTATAAAACTATAAAAAAGATTCTTGACTGACTTGATTTTTATAACAAAGTTCTTAAATAGAATATATATATATATATATATGAGACTTTAAAGTTAAAATTATATATCTAAAATGAATTATAACTGCCTAAGCTTTTTTAGAAACTTCAATTTATTTACAACTAATTTAACGAACACATTTAAAGTATTTTGTTAAATATATGTTTAATAATTATGTTCATATATTTGATAAAATTGATCCTATCTGAGATGCAATATTGATAAATGAAAATTAATTTTCCTAAAAATTTAATATATATTTGTAAATAGGTTGTCAACTAAATGGCCAGTAACATTGACATAAAATTGAATATTATATCATTTTCTAAATACTAATTTTTTATTATTTGCAATGCAAGCTAATTTATTATCTAATAAAAATATTTTTCATTATATTTATAAATATAGATAACATTCAATGACATTATGATTTAATACAATTCAAATAATATTTACTTTATCATACAATGACAAATAATATTTATTTATTGCATGACAGGATATTATCGCGTATTTTATAATACGGAAAGTTGGTTAAGAATAGTGCGTTATCTTAATTCCGAGAATTATACAAATATTCATGTCTTAACTCGTGCTCAAATCATCGACGACACATTCCATTTAACAATATCAGGCGAATTACACTCTTCCGCATTTTGGGAAGTCATGAGTTATCTAAAAATGGGAAACGGACTATATAGCATGGTATCCTATGTTCAAAGCTATTGAGCATATGTCATACATTCTACCATTTGATAATATCGATAATATTCATTTCAAGGTAGAATTGATTAAGAAAAAAATTTTTTTATATAATTATGTTCAAAATATTAACATTATTTTTAATAATTATTTAAATCCTTTTCAAAAAACATTGCGCTTTTAATTTAGAAAGTTTTTTACATTTTTACAAGATTGAGTTAAACATTTTTAAATATTTATTATAACGTTTATGTTACTTTATAATATTTAGATGAGACTACAGAAACTATTGGGTACGCTTCTTCAAAAAATTGGATACGAGGAAAAGGATAATGACAACAACCTTGTTAAATGTTTAAGGCAAGAAGCTGTAAGATGGGCTTGTATCCTTGGTGATAGGGAATGCAAAAAGATTGCTGAATTTCAACTGCAATTGCATTTGTTAAATCCAATGTAATTATTACTTTTTTATTGTGATATTTTTGCAATATCTGCAACGCTCCACATATTTTTAAATAAAAATATATAAAAATACAAATCATAATTTTATGATAAAATGTTTCAGAAAAAATAAATTATTACCATGGTGGAAGGAATGGACATTCTGTAATGGTTTATCTGTATCTAGTATTTCTCTTGACAAACTATTTAAAGATTTGGATGAAATTTTGATAATTAAAGATCCAGAAATGTTTAAAATTTTAGCTTGCTATAATGATATTTCTAGTCTTGTGTCTCTGCTCTATAAGCTAAAAACATTAAAAAATAATTACGTGTCTACTTATACAGAAGATAATGCGAGGACAATTACTATTGTTAAAAACTACATTTATTTGTTTTATTATGTTATTCAGAAACATGGAAATGATAATTTATTTAATTACATTTTATTAAACAATTTGGAAGAACTCAAGCCAAAGTAATAACATGTTTTTACACATTTTAAATTATGAATGCAAATTTTTATTTTCATACAATTATAATAATTATTAATTTATTTTATTATATTATAATAATTATTAATTTATTTTATTATATTTTATTATATTATATGTTTTGCTTTTTCTAGAGAAATTAGTACAACCGCAGCATTGATTAATATCATAAATTATACTTATTCTAATAAAGCACTCTGTCAGGTAAGTTTTATCAAACACAATAACTTTTGTTACTTTCATATATTCTCATCAATTTTCGATTTTATTTATTATCTTTTATATCATAATGTTACAAAAATTGTGCTTCTAATTTAGAAAATTTAGAAAATTTTACTTTAATGTTGTTGAATATAAGAAAATAGATGAATAATATATAAATGTAATACAGATAGAATAGGATAAGAATAAGGATAATACTTTATTTCTATTTATTTCATAAGAGGCGGTAAAATTATTAATTAATTTTTATTGTACATAAATGTGTTAATTTAAATTATAATTCATAAACAATATACAAATTTAAAAATTATTTTATTACAAAAAAACAATAACAATCAATATTTTCTATAACTTTATATTCTTTTGCATGTATATATAAAGTATCCTTTATTGACACAAGTTTGTATGCAAGTAGAATTGTCAAAACAGGATAAAAAGTCCTGGATTTTTCGTATTTCCCAATTGCTAGTAAGTCATTAGTAAGTCATAATTAATGAAAATTAGTGAATTGTGAGACATATGCTTACGAGAGACAGCTTTCACTGTTGCTAAAAGCGCTGCGAAATGTTTGGATGCTGGCAAATAAATGAATACGACGTATTCGACGTTATTTGTAGATCATATTGTCAAACATCTTATTGCATTCCTAACAATCGTAAATGTGTAATATTGAACTGCACCTCCACGCAAATTCATTCTTATCTTTTTATTAATTAATAGCTTTATCAATTGCGAAACTCGCGAGGCTGTAAGGATTTTTTAATTTATTGTCAGTAAAATCGTCTTTATCTGCACACATAAATTCTCTGTCAATAATTGTTAGATAAGAAAGCACCTAAACGAATATGTGTATAACATACATTTAATGTTATAACATTACTATATAATGTCATTTTCTATGTTGCAATTCTTCTTTCTATATTTAATGAGATTTTGCAGAATATATGCATATTTAACATAACCATGCTAATTTTGCAGATACAGAAATGGATTCATAAGAACCTTATTAATTCATTACTTCAGAACACCGAACACAAAATACACATGCGTCTCAAGAAACATTATGCAGGTACTGTAGATAACGTATGTGAGACATCCCGCTTTATTTTTTAAAATATTATATAATTTATAATATATAATTATATAATGGAAGATGGATTATATAATGGAAGATTGTATTAAAATCATGCTGCTTTGTGTACCATTTCGATATTATTGCCAGTACTGAAAATGTATCCATAATTTGTGTTAGGTATTATAGATTTTTATAGATTTCAATATTGATAATGAAAATAGGAATACAAATGAGTATACAAATGAGCATTCACACTTTTCTTGCTTCTCATTTCGTATCTCTTATACTGTTCGAAAATCAATCTCAGAGAAGAATACAGACAGATATCGTTAGAAATCTTTTGACATTTATATTAGCATTACTTTAAAATATATTATTAATATTATTATAAATTATATTATTAATATTATATTATTAATTATATTATTAATATAATATTAATATTATTATTATTCTTATATATAGTTAATATTATAATGATTACGAAAAATATATATTATGATCCGTATAAAACTTCTGTACATATATTTTAAATGTATGTGTATAATAAATGCCAAATACTACTAATGATTTTACATTAATTTTATCTTCGACCAGTTCACTAGCATTAGTCTTTGAAATTGATTATCGCGTTTTATGAAAGAAACTACGGAATAACTACGAAATAACTAACTGGAAAATGCCTGAATATTGATAATTAGTTCAAAATTTCAAATTATAAATGGCACTGCATTCCTAAATACTTGAAATTATATGAATACAATTAACAAAATGATTTAAATGCCTAGGCTAGCCTTAGAGAATTTTTGTATAAACTATTAATTTAAATAATTATATATTCTTTACCTATTGTAGAAATAATTTCCATTTTTAAATAAATAAATTTGACTTGAGCATTTATCAATAGCATTTTATTATATTATGTAATTTTAGAAACATTTCAGAAACTATTTGGACAACTGTTAAAAATATTTCATTAAACCTCTACGAAAATAAACACAAATATGTATCAACATTTATTTGTTCTGAATTACATAAAATTTCAAAATAAGAAGATAGAAATTCAAATTATAGAAATAAATTTTTGAAATATTGAATTTTCTATTAACAACATTATCAAAAATTTTGAAGTGAAGTACATTTAAATATTGTCTACAAATTTAAAGTAAATTTACATCTTATATATATATATATATATATATATATATATATATATATATATATATA